GATCTACCTCCGCATCGAATACGATTTGCAATCTTATATATATATAACGCTCTTGTCAAGGCCGGTCCTTTTCTTTTCTCTGGAGAGGCCCTACGCCCGCTTACATCGATCGAATGTATGGGCCTAAGGTTACGAAGGCACATCTTGACAAGACCTAGGGTAGTCAAATCCCTATGAAACAGGACTTTGATATGACACTTGTCAGTCAATCGAAGGCAAGAATTGAGGGTAAGTATTTCTTCTCTCGTCCTTACCACAGATCTCATGCGGATGCGCCGACGGCTTCTACGGTTGGGAAGGCTCCTAAAACCAAGCCCAAGGGCACGGCGGCACCTATGAAATTTGCCCAGCAAACAAACAAGTTTAGTGCTCGTGACACCACACTTGATACCAGCGGCATCAAGGGGCCCCTTGTTCTAGGCACTGGAACTTTCATGCCTACCGCTGAGCTGCAGGCTGAGTTCGATGATTGTTGCAAGAGGTTGTGGCCTCATCTGGTCGGTCTGAACCATGAGCATGTCGATGGCTGTGTGGTTGATTCAGCAGTCCTCAAGGACTTGTCACCCGCTTGGGTGTTCCTATGGGACCTGTCACCTGTATCCCATCTGACATACATATATATCTTCGTGCCTGGCCACGGTCAGAATCCATTGGCTAAGTCAGGGGACTAGCCGGAGGCCTGAGCTCAAAGGCCCTGACAACGATATTGGTCGAGCCATTCAGAAGCTCAAGAGAGACCATGATGTCTACTATGATCACCTCGCGGATTGTACACAATCAGTTCAGAGGCTGATCGTCCCGGGCAAAGATCTCAGCGTTTCCCTTCTTCCCATTTCTGAGTGAGCTAGGCAGATACAAGACTATGTCGCTTAATGCCGACGACGGCAAGAACAATCCGCTACCGTCTAAGAGATTCAAATGCCCGATAGAAGTTGCCGACACTCCCGCAGCGAGGAATTGACACCGCGGCCAAAGGTCATGATGAACCGGTTAAGAACTCCGCTCTCAGAAATACAGAATCAGGTCCTGGCCCAGGCGGACCTCATGTGAGTGAGGTGTCCGAGAGCGAACTTGAAGTCGCCTCAGGCAAGAGACGGTCCAGCTCTCTCTTTCCTCCAAGCCCGTCAAGAAACTGAAGTTTACCGACGAAGTCGTCTCTTCTGTTGTTCCACAAAGACACCTCCAGATCGGATAGCAGACCATCATCCTCTTTACGCAGACCAGTGCATGTACGAGCTTACAGGCTACTGTTGAAGTACTGTCACCTTTCTATTCTTGCTATTCGGCTTCTTGCTGTCTTCTTCTTTCTATATATAATGCCGCCGGGCATGCTCCGTGCTGTACTTGTGAGATGACGCCGGTAAGTGGCTAAGTTTCTGCCGTCCGTTTTCAACAAGGTTGACTTACACGATTGCAGGTTCTATATACGTATATATTCAAGGCAATTCGACTTGCAGCTCTTGGCACTCTGGAGAGTCTGTACAACGTTCACGTTCTGCTTGGTGATCACTTCCATGCTCAACTACAACGCTGTGTCAACCAACGCCTATATCAGGCCCATAAGGGGTGCAGGAAGTCATGAGACGAGTTGAACTATCCACGAAATCTTGGCAACTTCGCACGCGAGGTGGTCTTGATAACTGGGCCTCCTCCTGCTTGAGCCCCTTTCATTCCCGCTACCCAAGTCGTTGTGCAGCCCACCGATGCCAGCGCTTCTCAAGACGAGTCTGGCGCTTCTCAAGGCGAGTCTGATTCTAGCTCTGCTGAGGACTAGGCCATCGTCGTTGCGCACCCTGGTGCCGCCGACCTAACGACGGCATCCAGCCCAGAAATCGTTTCTGATCTCTGGTCACTATCCTATCGGATCTGGCCAAGCGCCAGAGCTGCTTGAGAGGCCAATTGGAATGCCTGAAGGCCGACAACCCTTTCACAGAGCATTTCGCGTAAGTTTAATTCCCTCTCTTCCGCGCCCATCTTGAGTTTACTGACATCCACAAGCACAAACGTTCAGCGCGAAACGCTTGCTATGCCTTACATCCCAATCTGACCTTGCCAACCTTTCAGGCTCACGTCTGATCTCGTGCTATTCGATGACGCCTCAGTTGTTTTCTCGAACGCTACCTTGTAACGTTTGGCTTTCTTGCTTCACGTCGCATCCTTGCCATCTAGCAGTTTGCGCCATATATATACCAGTGACCTCTTTTGCATTCTCTGTTGCATATGAGGTCAAGACCAAACTGAGTGACCAAAAGGCGCAACTTGTATGTCTCTTACTCACACTATTCTACTCGCTCTAACATTGTGCAGGCAATCAGGGAGAAAGTGTTCGCTTCTGAGAAGAAGTCTCTCAAACTAGAGCTCGAAGCTGCACATGGAAGTGTAGAGGCCTATAAGCAAACCGTCGAGAACCACAGGTTAACTCGTGCTGAAGTTGCTCAAGAACTGGAACTCGCTGTTGGCGCTGCCGTTTCGAGTGGTGCAACTGAAGTCAACCAAGCTATCCTGGAACAAGAGAATCTGGAATTGGAGATCAAGAAGCTCAAACTCAAACTCCTTTTCTTCTTCTATTATATATAGCCTGTACGTCTCAGATATGGGTGGGTCGTGTTGAGGTCGTCCTGCCATCGCGGATATAAGGACTCCGAGCAGTTCCTGGTATTGGCAAGTCCTTTGTTTGTCAAACAATTATCGATGTTCAGCGTTTGGCACAATCTAAAGGCAAGCCATCGCCAGTCCTTAAGGTAATGGCTCCCACTGGAGTTGCTGCGAAACACGTCAATGGCGAGACAATCCATGCCGCATTGATGATCAATCCTGCTGGATCCTCGGCATAAATGTCTCATATTGGGAAGCGGCTCTATCATGCCTTTGACATCTCATCCCCCCCACCCTCGGGTTCCAGGGCCTGGCTTGAACAGACACTCGCAAGCTATGCAGAAAGCTTCTCGTCTCACCCTACCACGTGACGTTCCCAGGCTTGCTTACTGATTTGACCTACGAGTTTGGCAAGAAGGAGTACACGACTCGATTTTCTCACACTACCACTTCCTCGGGCACACCAAGGTTGTTGTCACTCAGACCTTCTACGGCGACAAAGCCCGCGAGGACTGGCTCAAGGACCATCCCAAGGAGATGAACACTCTGGTTGAGACCATTCTTTTCCACGCGTATAACAATCAAGACAAGGCCTGCACTACGAAGTCTCTACGAAAGACATTTGAGCAACAAGTCCCCAGAAGACAGTAGCCGAGGCAAGTCACTGGTGCGAGACACAATAACGCATGTCGAAGAGGTCAACTAGTTCTGGTTCGCAGATTAGTTGCCAGCAAAACAGAGAGAGACGCGCCGCACTAAACAACTACCAAGAATATACCACCAAGAACATACCACCAAGAATACAATCAAGAACGCGTGAATCACCCTGTTAGAATTGCAAGTTATGCGGTTCCTTTTCAACGTCCTCGGCGCTGAGTCACGAAATCTTCCACGCCTTATCACGTCTAGCGGCAGATATCGGGTCTACTCCTGCTTGCGAGATGTATCGACAAGTCTGATTATACTGATTTTCGTCCCAAGGGTCGAGCTGCTGTCTTGGCGCTCGTGACATAGAAATCTGCTCGTTGCGGAACGTAGTCATCGTTTGGTTTCAAGACGAAATCTTTCGTACTTTTGGGACTTTCATCTGCATATCCTATGACAACATATCGTCGAGTTGATTGGAGACCGTCCGCTGATTCCCAAATTTTTCCTTTGATATGAATTGCGAATATACCTTTGTTGCTTGGATGACCCTGGTTACAACTTGTATCTCTCAATATGCTATGTACAGTGTCATGGTCGACCTGACGATTCGTGTATGATACGAAAAGGATAGAAGTCATGCGAGTTGGGAAAGCGTCGGAGGTCCGAGATACGTGAAATCCTGATGGGGGTGCTGACCTGAAAATGCATGGTCGATGTTTGACATCTCCGGACGACAACGCAGCTCAATCTGAATTTACTCGCAGACATCGCCATTCCAACCAGATCTGTCTCTGCGGTAGTTGCTTTGTGTACCAAAGTTTGTTACAATCTCGTACTTGGTTTGTTCTCCATTCTGAGTTAATGATCAGCATCCACGGTCGAGATACACAGTTGTGATCGAAACAAGAGTTAGGCCATTGAGACGACTTTCGAGACTTTCTCTCTGTGAGGACCACACAATTTACGAAAGTATTGTGCAAAAACATGGCTAGAACGTGACAAACCTCAGCACATGAGGAACTGATATATCGCGACCGAGAGATGCGAGAAAACGTGACTAGAATCCTTCGGAATCCTTCGGCCATCACCCCACTGGTTTATCATGTTAGTTGCTGCCTCATCTGGCTTTGAACCACAATCAATGCTCGAGCGTCATGTCTCGCTATTTATTTTCGACATTGCTTTTCGCGTCATGCTTCGCTTATGCGTCGACTGGAAAGGACAATGATGTGCTTGATGCTGAATTCGATAGATTGGTGTCGCAGCTGTGCGACGCTTTACACGTACCGNGGATCAGTTTAGCTGTGATCCAAAAGATTCTTTCGAGTCCAAGGTGAATTTACCACTCGAAGTCAGCCCAGTGAACCCGGATCTGACCTGTTCAGGGTTACGGCCATGCAGTACTTCCTGACGTCGAAGCTACATCAGACACTTTATGGTTCACAGGTAGCACAACAAAGGCATTCACTGCGGCGGCCGCTGCGCACGTTGTTCATGATCAGGTGAATTTCCCAGATGTCAGTTGGTCGAGCCCACTTTCTTCTCTGCTACCTGGAGATTTCGCCCTTGAAGATGACTACTATACTTCTCACGTAACCCTCGAAGACGCTCTCTCCCATCGATCGGGATTACCGAGACACGACCTGGCATATGGCTGGAGCGAAGGCAAGGCTCCAGGCACAGTTGACATCATTCGAACGATGAGACATCTTCCTTTGACCGCAGAACCAAGAACCGAGTGGCAGTATTGCAACTTGATGTACGGTAGCGTTGGACAAGCACTGGCAAATCTAAACGGAATCGGACTTGGTGATGTCCTGCGAAAGCTCATTTGGGAACCTCTTGGCATGAGATCCACTACTACCTCCCTTAAGATGGCCGAAGCAGCGAGAGACAAAAAGGGACAAAAGCGACTGTCGAGGGGCTATTTCTGGAATAGAGTTCATTACTTACCCGAGCCCTATACAGAACTTGGTCCTTTGGCTGGCGCGGGTGCTACCATCTCCTCGGTCAACGACTATGCTTTGTGGATACAAGCTTTGCTCAATGCCGTCACCAACGAGTCGTCTCCCATAAATGGAACGATTTACAAAGACGTAACCAGACCAAGAACTATCATGAGACTAGATCCCAGAGCACTAGACGAATCAATTCCACCTCTTTACGCACTTGGCTGGATCAATATTATGCTCGGCTCTCATAGGGTTATCACGCACTCGGGGTCTGTAACTGGTTTTGGTGCCAATGTTTACATTCTGCCTGACGAAGGAGTTGGCTTTGTGTCTATGGCGAACACGATGGGCAGTAGCAACCAGTTAGGGGCATTGCTATTCATCGCAATAACCAAGAGATTGGGCTTAGTGTCTTCAGACGATCATACAGCCCATCTAGACTTGCTACATGATGGTCCTGCGAGCTACCCGAAGACTCGTCAGCAGTCCTCTCTAAAAACTGACAGCAACCATATCTTGACTGGTGTAGAGCTACCTCTCCCCGGACGTCTGGTTGATTATATTGGCTCGTATCATCATACTGCATACGGTGTTTTCAATGTGTCTGCGGTCGATGATCAACCCAACTACTATCGAAGTAACTCTGCGAGTTCCCAAGAATCAATGTCATCGACCTCGGCTAGATTTTCGCTACGTATCAGACCCTCGCAAAGGACATGGCCCTACGAGATCGGGCTCAAACACAAAGCTAACACTCTCTTTGCGACACAGATCTATGTAAGTCTTTCGTACCTGTCTAGGCAGGAATGCAGTACTGATCAAATCCATAGTNGGGTCCATGGTCAAGGCGATGTCGGCAACGAGTGTATCAAGGAGACAAAAGCACGAACTGGAACCTCTGAGATCAAATGCTGCCAGGAGGTTGTCTTCGAGCCTCTGATTGAAGCTCGAGCCGTCTTTGAACATGATCTTGATGGTAAAGTTGCGAAGCTGGGAGTGGAGCTTGAGCCTGAGATGTTGCAGAAGGACGAAAGTAAATGGAGAGATGGCATGATTTGGTTTGAGAAGCAGGCATGATAAGGAATCAGTCTGTTCTTGGAAGTAAGACAGTGTTCAGAAGCAGCTTATGAGTCACAGTCTATGTTTGGTTAATATCGACATGAGTATGGATGATGGTTAGCATTGGTAGTACCCATTGTGTGTCTTCTATCTTCTCAGGGCTGTTCCCACCAAGTCTGGTTGTCTTGCGTCTGGAGCACTTACTACAATGATGTGCGTGGCGGAAGAAGACCGGTCTCAGGAGTTTGTCATCACACTCGCGAGTGAGGGTCTTGTCGGTTATGGTGAAAGGTCTGGGTATGTTTCTGCCTGCACAACGGCTCAGCTCTGATCCTCGCATGTCTGTCCGAGCTAATCTAATCTCTTGGGCATCTGCGTGGGTGGCTGTCGACGGTCTGTCCGGATCTTGCCGCCGCTTGATCTTTACATTTACGCGTACTAGGCACTTCCTCGTACGGAAGAAACTCTGAGTTTAGAACCACCAATGTACTCCTACAAGAGAATCGAGATCGACTTTACGCCATGATCAAATCCAAACCGGTGAGGATTTATTGAACAGTGTTGGATAGTGGCTATGCTGCCAAGGGTTCGAGATAGTGCCAAACAGTGGTTATGCGGCCAAGAACTCTAGATGCAAGTATGGTCATCCTGTTATACCAACATAGTTAGATTCTATGTAGCATGAGTTGTGTTCAGCAATAGCGCTGACTCGAGACTCTTGGGGCTGCAACTGTTTCGTCAGATATGGGTCTAAGCAATATGGAGTCATATTGATCAGCGTGTTTTTGATGTCGAAACGGTAGAATATGTCCACGGTGAAGGATCAAGCCAAGGTCAAGCGGAGGCATTCCCTCAGGATTCTTGAGGTGGTATGATGTAGCCTCCTCGTGTGCTAAAGGATGTTTGTATTTCGACCATAGCAGAGAGTAAAGTACACACTACAAAAATACACAATACTATTCAGAAACGAAAATCGGCCAGATAGAGCTGGCAGGGAATCGGTTCTCAGTGGACACGCGACACATCCTTTTGCACACCGAGAGGAGTGTGGCTGCTACAATACCTGGCTGTGGAGTTCATCACGTCAAGTACATGTGGAGTTCATATATCCATGACTCGACATTAGTGTTGTCGATCAGGGACGTGCATCCTCGAGTGTTCAAGTGTTGGTTCTTGCCAATGCATATACCAATTATAGTAAATTAACAGACTGTGGGGAAGGTCGCATGTCCAGTACACAAAGGATTGGTCGATCCTAGAAGTGGACGACAACACTTTGTACAGAGTCATTGGCTTCGAGGAATGCAGTCTGCACCTTCTACACATACTCCCCGTCATCGTGTTCATTGTGAATCAGTAAGGAAGCCATCCGTAAAGCTATGTCGATCCAAGATTGAAGAGTACAAGATCAAGTCCGCTATAGTAACGCTACGTGCGGACCATATCAACCACGCCGTGCCAGCTGAAGCTATCAGGAGCTTGTCAACGTTGCCAGCCTCTCGATGTTTGTCTGCGGAGATTCATGTTCAGTCTCTAGTGTCGTCGATCAAGGCTGTGTACGTCTGAAGGATTCTGCTCAATCAATTGTTGGTTCTTCCAAATGGAAACACGCACCTCCATCAGCAGAACTGCCAATGTGGGTTGACCGGTCTAGGTGGAGACTTGACGTCTTCTGAAGACCAACGACGGAGGTTGCGTAAGGAAAGTCTGCCTGATCTTTGTCTATATAAAGGAGGCTGTTTCTGTCCATGATACCTCCTCATCACCCATTCCATCCTCATCTCAGACCTATCTTCTCAATTCTCAAGAACAACATCCCAGATCCAATCCATCCAGCATGAAGACCACCACCATCCTTGCAACTCTCGCCGTTGTTCTCGGTGCCAGCATCGACGGCGTCACTGCCACCTGCTTCCGCAGTGGTGATATTTTCCAAGACAAGGGCAACGCTAGATGGCACGTCGAAAGAGCTTGCAAGGGCTACGATAACCAGCAGGGCTTTTTCCAGGGCACTTTCGCAGCCGGAGAGTCCAAGTATACCTGCGTCCAGGGCTCCACCACTCAGAAGTACGATATCACTGTTCGCAATGAGAACACCAACGCCGCCATCGATCTCAACGATGACGACTGCGTTCTACGTCTCCACAACGAAATCAATGGCTGTGACCATGGTGGCGATTCCACTGTCTCCGGTTGGAGATTCATGTAAGCTCTAATTATCAATCCAGTAAACTTGTTCTTCATTGGCTAACTCGGTTGCCCTTCCTGTAGCGTCGACCCCAACAACGGTATCTGTTAAAGAGATGCACATGCAACGACGCCCGAAGAAGATGACCTGATGGGGAGACATCAAGTCTAGCTCCAAGATCCTCCCTGGGCATCTTTCCAACTTTCCCCTCGACTTGCTCTTCCACCAATCTTCAAGTCCATTCGTTCTTGCTTAGCAGCTGTCCTTACGAAGATAGGAAATGTCAAGTTTTGAACCTCCTGGCTTAGTCCCGTGCAATCCCGTCCACATTTATGTCCTTTTCGCTGTCTTAAGTTGTGATCGCAAGGCAATGGAGCTTGAGCCTGATTTATTACACAAAGAGGAAAGTGAATGGAGGGATGGCTTGGTTTGGTTCAAAAGCAGTTTTGAAAAGTGTAGGTTGTTCTTGAAAGTGACCCGAGTGCCAGTGCTAGAAGAGAACCAATGGAAAACACGAAGATCAACGCGCTGTGCACCTGTGTTCTTGACGCAAGTTTCAACCGTGCAACTCGATGCTCAGCACCTTGCTAATTCGTGGATCGAGCCCTGATAATGATGTTTGCAGGAAGCTGGAACAAAGGGAAAAGGAATGCAAAGCAAAAGAACAAAGAAAGTATAGTAGTGCTTTTTGCTGACGCCCGAGAATATTCTGCGCCTTTTCAAAACTTTCTTCTTCTTTGATTGGAGGTAGGGTGATGTTGCCTCTGAGCTTTGGAGTGTCTGCCGGTCGATGTCTTGTTGGGATTCGCCGAATCTGAGATGTTACGTCGTGGATGCAGATTGGTCTTCCTCTCACGCACAACTTCTGGCCGCCTGCAGATTGAGGTGGTGTTGCGTGGTAATCAATCTCTGTGAACGATACGCTCGTTGGGTACTGCCTTCTAGGTTCGATGGTTGATGGTGGATATCGATGTCGATTTTCTCCGATGATTATTTTCGTTCTCTCTTGAGTTCGGTTTCATAGCGTTTCAGTAGCTGAACACACGAGAGTTGTACTGGTCCTGCTCCTCGTGATCCGAATCGACCAACTCCTGTATTGGCTTGATAAAAGTTGTATGGTCGAGGACCGGGGTTTGAGCGGTGTGACGAGACAACAATTTTAGTAAGCCTCTCTGCTGATCGTAGACCACACAGAATACTTGACCAGCCTCACAGTCAGGACAGGCGTGGGATCTGGTATCTCCGGGCCCTCCCAACATGGTCGCAAAACCGCAAGAGACCATGGAGTTGAGACAAGTCTTGGTCGGTTGAAGTTGTGGCCAGCCTGATGATTCGCCCGACCAAGCGTTACATTGCTTAGCCCAGGCATCTATCAGGTTTTCAGAGCTGACAGGGACAAGGTCGGTACCCCTATCGGTGTAAAGCTTGTACCCTCGAGACCAGACCCCAGACGCTACTCTTGAGGGACCTGCTGCGTTGGTAACATCGCTATGATGATCATTGAGGCTGGTAACCTTCCTCTATGACACATCATCAGTCAATGCAGCTTCGTGAAAACTTTCATGTCTTACCTTCTTGCTCAAGCCTCCAGAGAGAGACCCCATTGCTTTGTCAACCCGGTCGCCTTCCGTACTCTGAACTGTAAGTCGATCACCAAGATAAGTGTCAAGACGAGTTTGCAGAATTGTGAGTATCTCGGCTTGCGACTGAACTTGATGCTTCAATTCCTCGTTTTCCCGTTCGAGGAAGTTCAAACGGTCAGCATACTGTTTTGATGCAGGGCCTTGTCGTGAGGGGGAGAGTTGGTCTTCATGTGCGTTGTGTGCGACTAGGCGCTCGAGTGCCTCGATTCGTGATTCCAGCGCCTCCTGGGCGACCTCTTGGTCCTCGGCTCCTGTGTTGACACATTGCTCCAAGCGGGCGCAACGGTCTCCCAGCTCTTCGATCTTGTCTGCATGCTCAGTGTTGAGTTGACGTTGTGCAGCCTTGAAAGCCCGCATCCAATGGAAAATCCTCTGAGACCCTTGCATGAGGTCCTCCCAGTTTGAGATTTGGGACTCGTTAAACCTCTTTTGCTTCTCAAACCTTCTCTCGACATACTGTTGTAGCATCCTGAGATGCCACATTGTGCTGAGGGCTCCCAGAGCTCGGCCAAGGAAGTTGCTGTAATGATGCTTGTGGGACAGAGTGTTGACGTCGGTGACGTTCCAACAGTCAGATCTCTGGCTTTGGTGACCTGATGGTCTGGGAAAGAGTGTTGAGAACTCTTTTGATAGAGAATAGGGTCGAGAATGGTTGTTTGATGATAGAGAATGGAGGAGAGAAAGTGGTTGTCGTTGTTGCTGGAAGAAAGAGAAGAGACATAGACTGAAGTACCAAAGATAGTTGACGACCATCGACGTTCTAGTGCAGCACTAGTCCCAACGGACACCAAAACGTCCGTCTCTCTACTTTCACTCATATCTCGATCGCTGCACTGTTCAAAATTCTCACACTTTCACACAACACATAAAGTTGAAACTTGGTATGGACATTCCTTGGGAGGAATATCGACATTCTTCCTGCTCCAAGCTTTTACCACCTGGAACATGCACGACAACACCACCTCTTCTGATGACTCGACCACATTCTACCTTTTCCCTGATCACTTGCTATGGGCGCCTACATACATTCATTACCATGGTTATAAACACGTCTCACATCCGCAAAGGATCCTATAGAGCATCTCTAGACTCACTCTACCCCAGCAAAATAGTTCTCGCGAAAAGCTGAGATCATGGCTGTGACACGGGATTAAACTGGAAAATAAAAAGTCATTCAGGGTACGAGAAAGAGCGTGTATCAGCCGAGTCCACATCAATCCTGATTCAACGCGAATGAGGACCCACAAGTACAAACTCTTCCTCTCAATTTGTTGCACCTTGTCGCATCTCGTTCACGACAAGCATATTCTTACAATTGTCGAGCCCTCATCGTGTGTCACATTCAAGAAACTTACACAGATTCTCTCCGATAACCCTGCTTAGACCGCTTTGCCATCGCTTTCAATCTGACTCCAGAACTACCGCCATTGGATTCATGGTTAGGGATTGCCCGATTCATCGCAGCACCTCCCACCAGTCCCAAGGCTTCGCGGATATCAGGGCTAGGCCCTACTCTCAATTCGTCACGGCCACGCCTAGTGAGCCTACCACCGAGCCTGTTACTAGGCACTTCGCTTTAGAGCGCCTGGAATTCGCGCTAGAATCCATCCCAGCGTGCGATTATACGCTAGCAGTCAAAGATCATGCTAGCAACATGTTGCTTAGCGTCATACCGTACATTTCCGGAGCAGCCTGGTCTATTAAAACCGGCCCTCAACATCAACTCGTCGGCTTCTCGAGTCAGGGTTCTCGGTGACCAAAGAGCCAAAAGGAGTGACTGGGTCTAGAAGCCTCTGGCCCCTGATGCTGTCTCCATGTATGAGAGAGCCTAAGTTACCGACTGTGATGTGAAACATAGGGATATATGATTGTGCTGAGAAAATGAGAAGAGGAATACTGCTCCTTGGTCCAGTCATTGCAGGAGACCTCCGGCCTTACCGCATGCTCAAGGATGTGAATTCGATTGGGCTCCAACTACAACAGAGAGTACTTTACCCACTATAAGAATGCACAATATCTTTGGAAACCAAAGAATACTGGTCAGAAAATCGCTCTCGTTGGACACTATCCTTTTCCTGATAGTATCATGCATTTCTACAGCCACTCGGTCACATACTTTTGCACACAGGAAAGGGCTATACACCGATAACATATGATCCAACTGACACACAAAACCTCATCGATCATTGGAGAAGAAGCTCGTATCCGCAGGTCCATGGTCATGTCTGAGTTACCCGCATCACCCTCTCGCCACTGATAGAACTCGCAACAATGACCGCAACCTTTTTCCGTCCTCGATAAACCAACCATCCCTACCACTTTTCGCAGTTGCTCGCTCCAGGCAAACTATACATTCATCTAATCATTCCTAAAAATGCCTCACATTCGCGAAACGTCCTATGGAGCCGACCTGGACCCATGAAGCTAGAACCACCACCGCACTATCGGGACCGAACAGGGGTAAGGAGGTCTATAATGCTTAGCCCCTGAGCACATCTCCATGTATAGGGAAGGCTGGAAACGTGAATGTGATGTGGATCAGAAGAGGAGAAGTACACAGGTTCTAAAGGGAGCATAAAGGTTATATAAGTGTCCATTGACCCCAGATCTTGCTTCCATCTCAGCAGACAACATTCTAAATCCCTCGATTGCAGAGACATCTACAACGGTAGGGTCGACGGGAAGTGCTGAGGTAGTCTGTAGCAAAAGTCAAGTTGGTGCTGGTTTATCTTTGTTAAAGATATTTCTTTTGGGCGGGTGTTTCGAGTATCATATACTAGACAAGAGTTTTCTCGCACGTAGCATGGCGCACTTCTTCTTAGAACTTCTTGTTGAGAAACTTGTTGATAGATATGTTTGGCACACACGAGGACGTGATGGATCTATAAGCACTTATCTTCCCGCAAAGGACGGATCGATCGGAACAGAGTACGCGCATCGGTGTGATTTGCAGACGACAAACTCCATCTCGTATCTACGTTTCCATCTACCTTGACAGAACTAACACGAACATACTGTTATCATGCAACTTCGACTCTTCCACAGGAAGCTAGGAGCGACTAGCAATAATAATTTACAAAAGATAGAGTGAGAGGGGTTGAGAAGGTCGATGATCCCTCTACCCTGACCACGTCTCCCGCGTGCGCGGAGTGTGTTTTCCTCATTATGAACAACATCAAAGTGAGATGTATGCACATGTTTGGTAGGGGGGAAAAGGGAGGGTATTGGTGATTGTAGACCTAGTAACCTACTTTATCTCGATTGCACCTACGCTCGCGACACTTGGACCCGGTAGTATCTGGTTCAGGAGTGCCATCTGGTAGCAAGCCTGAAGAACATGATCCTGGCTGTCAGAAGAGTATCTGGGTGTCGAGATGTCACTATGGAGCGGCATGCTTGTGAGTGAAAACGAAAAGATGCCTAACGAGAGCTGAAAGGACATCGTTTCTCGATGAATATTATCTGGTTTCGTAATCACATTATGCATTTTGCAAGTTACATGCGTTGTATACGTTTACACACAAGAAAGGGTGTAAGCAGATATAAAAGCTCTTCTTCCAGGATCAAAAGCATAGCAGCAAAACACCTAGTTCATATCAATGCTTCCTCAACTTCTGATAAGCTCTTCCACTCCTCCTCGACTTGTAAACCCGGTCGATGACAAACACCACAACAGAGATGACGACTATCAAACCAACCCATGAGCCAAGCCCACCGTCCACCGGCGCCATCTGAGTGATTCTACTGACCAACCCTTTGGCCCACAAGTCCAGGACTGCCGTCTTGGCTAGCACATTTCCATCTTCGTCCAACGCCTCAACAACAACGTACCGAATCAGATCCCTACCAAGGTCAGTCGGAAGATCAAGTTCAGTCTCAAAGCCCTCCTTCAAAACCTTTCTGTGAAACTGCCACTGATCATTGATGAGGAGTTTGAGTTGCCAAGCAAAAACACCAGTAGCGCCATTCCAAGACACAAAAACACTAGTTTTGTCAGGGCCAGCAACAGCAACAGGCGGATAAGAAGGAACAGCTTTCCAAGGATACTTGAGCACAGAGTAAGACTGAACGTATCCTTTNCCAGGACTCTTGAGGCCTGTTTCAACGACGATGCGGGAATCGCAGAGAAGGGTTCCGTTGGCAAGATACTCGGTCCAAGTTCCTTGCCAGCCAAAGCCAAGTAGGATATGAGGGTCGGATTGTTTTGTCAGGTTTGAGTGGACGGTTTGCAGGGATCCTTGGGAGACGGAGTCGATGTGTAAAGGATGTTCGTATGCTTTGACGACTTTGGCAGTTAAGGGCGCGTTGGTACTGACACCTTGGCTGGGATATGTCAATTCGAGGATGAGGCCTCGAGCTGGACGTGGCGGGATGCCGTTGTCGAAGAGAGTAAGCAATTGTTTTGTGAAACCATCCTTGTGGGTTTGCTTTCCATGATGGGCAATTTCTTCGGCCATGAGTGAAGGAAAGGTGGTCAAGGGAGCAAAACGAGCGAGATGTTGGTATTGCATGTTTGTTGCTTGACCATTACTCAGATCAGAGAATGAGTTGCGCTTGCCACCTAGCACCCAGACGATGGCACCTGTACGACCGTCGATGTAGGTTATTGTCGAGGTGAAGCGGGCAGAGACGAGATAATTGCCAAGGTCATCTTTCTGGACGCTGTTGATATGGTACCAGTCATAGGGATGATCGAGCGTAAGGCCATCTGTACCCAGCGGCGTATAAGACTCGTCCAATTCATGGTGTTCGGAAGCTCTCCACTCAAAGATGAGCTTCTGGGAAGCAATGTCGAATTCTTGAAACAGACAGTCCCAGATGTAGACGGTGTCGGTGATTCTGAACAGACCTGGTTGGTGCAGAGGGTAGATTTGGTANAAGGTGACCAGAGCGGTGCCTTCCGGAGTGATGGTCAACTCGTGGAGATCGGCACGAAGATTGTTGACACCCCTGATGCGAGCTATCTCTTCATATTTTGTGTTGAGGACATAGAAATAGCCTTCTCCATGGCCACCAACAGCGTCATCACCGACCCAATATGTCAAGACCTTTTCTCCCTTGTACTCTTGGACTTTGAGGTTGTAGGCTTGTCCTCTGACGGGTCGAGACCAGATGAGATGACCGTGATTGTCGAGGATGGTGACAGCAGCGTTGGGAACTCGGAAGCCTCTTGGTGAGAGGAAGATGTAGTTGTCGTCATAACATTGCGGCGAGTCGAGGGCCTTTCTCACAGCAGGAGAAGTGATGTTGGAGGATCGGTAAGACTTGAACGGGTACGAGCCATATTTGGTCTCCCAGGCATTCGCGTCGACAGTCAGGGGATGATAGTTGGGACCGACATCGTTTGCGACAGCAAGAGCGATGAGCAACAAGCACAAGAAGAGTGGTCCGGATATCATTGGCGCATTGTGCTACATGCAGAAGCGTCGGAGCGGAAGCTTGGAGGGGAGGAAGAAAAAGGAGAAATAAAAGGAGAATAAACAGTCCTCGGATAAGCGGCGGGGCGGGGTTCAGCTGCTTATCGCCATGCATGTCATTAATCACGCAACCCATTGAACCTTTGACAAGCACATCGTCCTCTATCCCTTGCTCTCGCTTTCCTTGTCGTGTCTCTTATCTGGACATTGCTCTCACCCCTACTCTTTCCAGTCACATTGCAGCACACACACACAATGCCCGCGCGCGTCTCGCCACCACCGGCGGCCAACTCCAGCAGCGGCCTGACCAAGGAACAGCTCGACTTCTGGAACACAAATGGCTACCTGCTCATCCCCGACGCATTGAGCCCAGAGACGACCAAAGCCCTGCTCGAAGAAGCTTACACCATGCTGGACAACTTCTCCCTCGACGACCATCCCATGACAAAGTTCAGCACCGGCGAGAAGAGCGACCACGTCGGTGACGACTACTTCCTCGACTCTGGCGACAAGGTTCGCTTTTTCTTTGAAGAAGGTGTGTGTTTTGTTTCCCTCTCTTAGTCACTAAGCCTGCAAAACACTAATGCTGTCAACACAGACGCCTTCGACGCCAACGGCCACCTCACAAAACCAAAATCCAAAGCCATCAACAAGATCGGGCACTACCTACACGGGTTATCCCCATTATACCGCAGCGCCTCTCTATCTTCTTCTAACGCCAGCATCGCAAAATCGCTAGGCTACACCGACCCACGCATCCTGCAGTCCATGATCATCTGCAAGCAACCAGAAATCGGTGGCCGCGTTCCTCCACACCAAGACAGCACTTTCCTATACACAGACCCACCCTCTGCAGTGGGCTTTTGGTACGCATTAGAGGACGCAACAGCAGAAAACGGGTGTTTGAGTTTCGCAGCGGGGAGTCACCGACGCGCTCCCATTCGCTCTCGGTTTGTGCGTCAACACTCCCCGACTCCGCCANGCACAGGCACAGGGTTTGCCGAAAACGAAGGAAGTCAATGGCCACAAGGCCTTCAAGAAGACACCGAAGTGAAAAAAGAAGTGTACGAGCTTGGAGAAGTCAAGGCTGGGACTCTGGTCTTGATCCATGGGAACTTGTTGCACAAGAGTGAGAAGAATACGAGTATGAAGGGGAGAATGATATACACCTTCCACTGCATCGAAGGTGGAAATGACTATGATGCAAAGAATTGGTTGCAACCTCCGAAAGAGGGGTTCTCCAAGCTCTTCCAGTCATAGCCTTGAAGAATGGCATGCTTTTGTCAAAGAGGCATGCCACATACTGGCATTGGAAGGAGGCAGAGGAAGGAACAGACAAGTTCCAGGAGACACAGCACTCGTCTCTTTTGCATTGTCTACATTTTCTGCATTCGAATTTCTTTTTGTTTTCGGAGGACTCCGTCTTCTTGTTCTTGACGTTAATGACAACCTTTTCCTTTCTCCCTTCCATGTGTTCTCCAGCCTTATATGTCTTGAGTGCACGCTGCCAGAGAGGCTGCCTCTATTCCGATGTGCACATTAGCACTGTTAACACTCGTTCGATCGACCTGTCCCTCGCAACAAAACATGATAACATCACAAGATGACAGCATGCACAAGAACAACACTACAATAGTTGGAAATGTGGAGAGGAGCGGTACAGTCTACAAAGTGATCAAGAAGCAGCTTAAATGTGTCTCGCTTGTGAAGATTCACACCATTGGTTTCAGAGTGTGGTGATTCCCATATGATATAGAATAATAGTACATAGATATACAAAGGCATGCAATCCCCAAAGGATCCTTTTACACGTTACACAGCCCTCTACTTCTTTGCCACCAAGCCTTGCATCTCTTGATGCAACTTCTTCCACTCCTCATCTGCTTCTCTCTCTTCTCTCGCTTCTTGTTCTTTCCTCAACTCAAATTCAGCTCTGGCTCTTTCCTTGCCTTCTTCCCTTGCTTTGTGTTCACGTCTCCGTTCTTTCATTTCCAGTTTCTTTTTCGCCCATAAAGCTCTTCTCTCTTTCTGCAAGTGAAGGGCTTTAAGCTTTGCATTGGCGAGTTCTTCGGTTCGGGCTTTGCGTTGTTGTTTTAGGGTTTCGCGGGCTTCTTGTTGCTGTTTTTCGGCTGTGGTTCTGGCTTCTGATATTGCTTCTGCTTGCGCTTGTGCCTCTTTCACCATCAATTGGTTTTGCTTCTGCCAGTCGAGTTTGTCGAGTTGTTTCCTTCTGGCTAGTGATCGCTGTTTTCTGGCTTCGAGACGTTTTTGGCTGCTTCCACTCTGGCCTTTTGAACTTCTACGGCTTTTTTCAGAGCGACGAGTATGCGTTGGCGTTTTTGTTGGTCTAGTTGTCTACGATGTCTTCTTAACCGCGCTCGTTCTTGCTTTTCGCGTTCGGTGTTTTCTTTGACTAAAAGTTGAGGAGTCTTTTTGAACGCGGAGGGAATATGCTTTGGCGAGCAAAAATCCCAAGGTGGCGGATTTGTCGTATCCTTCCTGTTTCCATCGGAGGTCTTTCTCGATAGCCTTTCGCAGAGCGGACAAGAAAGGGTACACGGCAAGATAGGACTTGTGGGCGACAAGGTCAGCAGCAAGAGTAGAGTGGAGGTCGTGTGTTGTGTTTTTGTTCAAGTCGGTGCTTGAGGATGCATCGTCTAGCTTCAAAGACTGCACGATGCCTCCGGCTTGCTTTGGTACGGAAGGCGCTGGTACTGCTGCTTCAGTCATGCCCTTGTCGATGCCGATAGCAACGATTGCCGCAAACATCTTGAAGCGTTGGTATCGACTGATTTTGTTGTCGACGCCAACACCAGCACTCAAAGTGTGCACATTCGGCGTTTGAACAGTTTCGCTCTCGCCGCGCGACGAAGTATACAATGTCTTTAACATTTTCTGGCGAAGATCGCGTGAGACTTCGCCGCTAAGACATGCATACCTCCATACCACGCGAAGGGTGTTGTACGCCCTGGCCCTGAAAGCAAGATGGGCAAGTTTTTCGAAGGTGCGAGAGTCGGGTTGCAAATTCAATGATTCACCAAGAGTGGCTTCCAGAGCTTCGATGGCAAATTTCAGGTCGCGATAGGAAGATGCGGCATCGAGAAGGATATGTGTGGTCACAAGATTGGGTTTCTTGTTTCGCTTGTCCAGCTCCTTTATCACGGCCATGACATCTTGCAAATTGCCCGTTTGAATGAGGACAAGCAAAATCTGATTGCAAGCACGTGTGTCTAGCCATTCTTTGCCGTTCCAGAGTTTGTCGTAGTGAGCGATAAAGTCGAAGATGGATTCTCCTCTTCCCAGCCATTCCATTACATCTCTCTGTGACGTGGCATTTGCAGTACCCATTTTTGCTACTGGAGAAGAAAGCATTTGTCGTTGTCGCATAGTGGTGATGATATGTTTGGCATTTCGTGGGCTTACTTTTTGTACCAACTGGAAGCAATGATGTCCACGTCTCCACATCAGGAACCACACTACGATCCGTCATCATGCGAAGGAGGAAGTTGTAGGTATGCAAATCCAAGGCTTGAGATGCTGATTGCAAGAGTACATTGAAGACTGATGGGTTGGCCAAGACAAAGCGGAGGTAGGGGAGTGGTTTTTGATTGAGACTCGATCAACTCAAGAATGCGACGGACTTCCGGGATCTTGCGGTGTTCGATGAGGTATTGTAAAGTCTGCACTGTGGCGTGCATGGAAGCCCAGCGAGCAGAATCCGGATTTGTGTAGAGTGCCATCAGTTTGTCCGTTACGAAGTCGACATGTGGCTTGTTCGGCGGGGAATTTGCTGGTCCTTTTTGTTGTAATGGATTTGGAGTTGCAATGACCAGTTCAGCGATGTAGGCAGCAAAGACTTGGAATGACCATTTATTCCGCTCGCGAACATGGCTGAGATCTTTCGCTGTTGCATACGGCATACTCCAGACAGAACGAGGCATGACCTTGTCCTGGACGACAGGTGTAGTGGTAGTGGCGTATTTCCCCATGGTGCCTCTATCATTCAGATCCTCATCGCTCTCGACCTGTACAGCCTCGTTCAATATGTGCCTTGCCAACCTGATAGTCGCTGCAGTACCCGACAATTCCAAAGCATGGAACTTGCCATGCTTGTGGTTGTCTCCACGCGAGATCTGTACATGGCACCCAGTGTGCAGATAAATGTCCAGAAAGAGGTCAAAGAGGTTGCCAGGATAGAAGCCTCGCATGCCTTGGGGCATGTCCAGTCGGGCCAGCTGTTTGACATGGTGATGTTCTCCTTGTGGTGTATGCTTACGTAGCAGCATCAAGGGTGTTCGCCAGTCTTTGGCATAGAAGGACTTTTCACGCAGCTCGGCGCGTTTCGTCTCTTGCAGCTTTCGGACTTGGACTTTCCGCACAAGCGATCGCGGAACGCGCCTGGTATTGTCGTCTACATCTTGCGGTGGGACCGATGCGGGGCTTGACGGCTTGGGCAGTGTGTTCCCTAGCTCTTTCTGCGCTGATACATCTCGTCCATCAGGCGGGATTGAATCTTTCAATGTGCTTGACCGGGCAGCCTCGGCGGCAGCAACTTCGACTGAGTACCATCGTGGGTAGAGAAAAGGCAACGGCTCATGTGGCGGGAATAGTCGTGGCCATTTCAGGCGGGTTATACGTGGCGGCATTCGCTCCTTCTCTGCATGACAGCAAATAATTAATTGTTGCTTGCACCTGCCACATGCTTCGGGAGTCTCATCCTCCAACTCCGCAATTCGTCACTGCCGAAGTTTCGCCGTCCAAGCACCTTGATAGCGATCTCCGTTCGAACCTCTACTTGCTTTAATCATTACAGGTAATTCCAGTATACCATCATCATCGAACCTGTTTTGATTTTGGTTGAGGATTTGCTCAAACACTCATCACACCAACTATGGACCCAAACCCAGACACCNCCCGAACCCAACCATCCCCAGGTCTCTTCCGCTATGTGCTAGGCTTCCTCCTTGTCGGTGCAGCATGGGGTCTAACAACACCTTTCATGCGTCGCGCCGCCGTCGCCTCCTCTTCAACCTCAACCCCCGAATCCCGCGCCTGGCTCGAGCATCCAAATACACCCTGGCTTAAAGCAAAGGTCTGGGGTGTGTTGTACAGTGTCTGGGACGTTCTCAGGAATCCAGCTTATGCCATTCCGTTTTTGATCAACGTTACGGGGAGTGTGTGGTTTTTTTTGTTGATTGGTCAGGCTGGTGAGTTTGGACTTTGATGGTGGAGAGAGTGTGTTTTTGGTGACTGACTGGCTGTCTGCGAATGATAGNAACTCAGTCTTACGGTGCCTATTACCAATTCGCTTGCTTTTCTGTTTACGGTACTGGGAGAGTGGTGGGCAGAGAAGAAGGTCATTACAAAAGGTGTGTTTCCCATTCTCTGTAACCAATTTGAGTTTGGGTCAACTAACAATCCTCTTCTCACAACAGATACATGGATAGGCATGGCCCTAGTCCTTGGTGGAATCGGCCTCTGCGTGCATTCAAAAAACACCTGATTCCCATAGCAAAGCATGAGATCTGACCATAATATCGCAAACATAGTATACCACAATCCGAACACTTCAGAATCTCCTCTATCCTCGTTTTAAGCCTTCTTCAACCGATCATAAATACCATCTTCGCAATCCTCGGCATACTCCAAAACCTCATCAATTCCCGGGTGACACGCACTCAAGGCCAACATAGTAGTATCCAAGATCTCCAGCCCTACTTTGACCATTCTCACCCTAATCTCTTCCTCACCCTCACTTGCGTCAATGGAATGGCACATCAACACAAAATCCCTATCTGCCATTTCTGCATCCAAAACAACAAATTGAGAGTAACCATTATCACTGCCTTGCCAGCATAACTTGCGCAAGACGCCACAAATAGCAGAGGGATTGTGCAGATCCTCATCCTTCACAAATGGCGATTTCGAAAGCCCTTGACCCTCGAGTTGCAATGTCGGGTTTGTGTATTTCTTGGTTAGGGAATCTATTACTACCCATCAAGGATTCCAGTATTGATCGTGCATGTGGTTGTCATAGATCGCTTTCAAGATTCTATTGATTTCCTGGTTTTTTGGCATGGGTTACCATTCCTATAACCTCTTGCGGGATTTGGTGGCGTAGACATTGTAAGATATCGGATATGGTACCCACGATAGAGGAGAGTAACAACGAGAAAGCTTTTGGAAGGTGCTTCACCGCGAGACCAAATGAACAGGAATAGCAATCACAAAGTAAGAACCATTGACGTGGAAGAGAGATTCCTTTTCTGTGGAACAAGCGCGGGATGCTAGGCAGACGTGATGGAGATTCTCGGCCGTAGCTCATGGGCACGAAACGTTCAATGAGGTGGAGTCAAATGAATGTTCCTCTGAAGCAAATCTTCCTTTGACGCCAAACATTCTGGAGCACGTTATGGGCTGCGTGCTTATGAAGTTACCTGGATTTTAGAGAGCTCAGAGCGGTCAGATATTGTTGTTATCGGGATGGCTACTGATGGCAACAAAGCCGGTTATTAACGACGCCACTGATCGAGCCTTCCAATGTGACGCTGCTCGAGGCTCGCGCCGAGGCGTGCTGACTCCACACATTCAAACACTCCGGAAGCGGTAACTTATCGAGAGGTGCAGACATGGGAACGACTAGTGCTGATCCCAGACTGCAGGCGGCTGCATTCACACTGGACAGTCAGCCGCAAGCCGGGTGGGCGGTATGAAGTCTTCCCGATCCATCCCCCAGTCTAGATGCGAAGTAAGCTTCTCAAGACTTTGCATCAATTCTTCTTCCTGTGTTCTAGAGGCTCGTCGATTGTCGATTACACATGCTCAACCATGGATTTTGGGGCTTTCCACACCGGATTTATGAACCAGTTCCCAGCGGATTACCTTAAGCCGATTCGACAACATTCGTGGATGCGAGTCCTGCATCAATTCTTGGCCATGCGGGACTAGGTATCAACTCTTCAAGCCTTTGAGGCTGTAGTGTTCTTGGCCTATGCACCTGTACAACAGTATCATCCTTTCCGGGCGGGAAATACCTCGACACCCACAAGAGACCCGTACCCTTGGCGATAGACAAGACACACTTGTTTTGCGAGCCTTAAGATGCGTCCAGTGCCCACTTGTTCCGATTGATAACAGAACTTGAAGATCACCATGTATCCTGACACGAGCCGTCAAGATATACTCCGCACTGCGAGTGAGCGATCACACGAACAATCACCATCTCCTTCGAGATCTACATCCTCGGTCTATCGCTCACCAGACCAAGAATGGCTTGCAATGTCAGATCTGCATGCAACACGGGAGCGGTATGCCCTCACAGACTACGACAGAGACGTTACCGAGGCGAAAGTCAACGAAAATAGAGCCTTGATCGAAAACCTTGAGTCCACGCAAACGCAAGACGATCGAACGCTGTCAACTATGAAGCACCCGGAGTCGTCAACATACTTGGAAACATCACTGGACGACCAGACAGACCTGACGTGGATTGGACGACTTCGTAACGGTGAGTTCTGCTTGACACATTTGAGAGACCAGAATTGATGGCTTCCAGTTCTCAAGCCGCACTTGTGTCCATCAGACAGATCTTACCATCGTGGACGCAGCAGCCCTTTGTCTATCACGATTGTTGTTCTTGCTTTATATACAACAACGTTTTCCGGACTTTTTCTGGTCATCAGTCTGATGGCACCAGAATATACGTGGATCCGTAAAGGGNGTACCCTATCACCATACCAGGCAGGATTGTTGACTGCCTTTTTTGCAAAGACGATTGAAATATCGTTCGCGACGGTGTTTGTAGCCTTTCTCGGACAGGTCGTGTCTCGCAAGGCCCTTGACACCCGTCCGAACGGAGATACAATGAAGCGGGGCATTACTCTAGCTGACATCGATCTGCGGGCTTGGGTCGTGCAGCCAGGGACAATGCTTACCCATTTCGCCTCGTTCAAGTCCTCCGTTCTCTCAGCTCTAGGAGCATTCTCGTTGGTTGCCGCCATTTCGGCTCTGCTGTACACCACAGCATCTGACGCCTTGGGTAAGTTCTTGTCTTAGAAACCGTTAGACGTCGATTTCAGGCTGTGGGTAGAGAATGACCTGCTGAGAACGTCTGCCAATANNGTTCAACCTAACCTTCGAACTATATCCAAGTATATCAGCATGCAAGGATTGGTGAAGAGTCCGTTCGCCAATCAGAGATATCTCCAAAGCAACTGCCACTCCCCAATCGCATATCAACCATCAGACGAGTCTTCGAGCTCGTGCTTGTCTCTTCAGTTCGCTGCCCGGGGCTTCTTCGACTTCTCAAATTTTTATACAACTTGGAGTGAGATATCAAGCAATGGCAATGTATTCAGTGATCTTTCTAGGCGACCAGAAGCAGCTTCTTTGCTGCACACAAACATAACCGTCACAGGTTCATGGGTTGATGATGTTGATGGTCGTATGAATTTTGGAAGGTACGGCAGGATTATCAACAATATCACACTAGCGATGCCTCATCCTGGCGTTCTGACTGCCGCACGCGATGAGATCAACAGAATTGTCCAACCGGAGGTGAGACTCGGTGGATGTTTTCTGACTGTATTGAGGTTCTAACAAAGTGGATAGAGACAAGACAAGCAAGCTGGCTACACCCTCCACGCATCCGTTCCGTCTCCTGCTGTCAATGTTATGTGTGTCAACATGAATGCAACAGAACTGGAGCCCATCGTGTACACAGCGTGGGGCAACACTCTCAATGCCACTTCCTGGTCCACAGGCGCCGCACTAGGATGGTATACACCTTACACGTATCTGAACAAAACAGTGGTCGACGACATCTTCCATTGGGGAGAGGCATACAGAACTTCACCGCCGGTGTTTGCCACGTATCCTGCCGATCACAGTACGCTCCTCAACCATACTGGAGCATATGGCCGTAAAGCGGTTTATCTCTTAGGAAAGGGAGATACTGACGATTACGCCCTCTGTTCTATCTCGGCTTTTCTGACTCCTTTCTGCTATACTAGTTATAGCGTTTCATCCGATACTGCGAGTCTCAGGTCAAATTGTTCCGATCATGCTGAGGGACCTCACCCAATGCGATATATAGACAGTCTGAAGAACACGACGTCAGGCGAAGCCAATGTCAACATGGACTGGCCCTATTTGATGGCATACTGGTCCGACAGTCTAATGCTGAATGCGGGACTCAATGGAAGCGTCTCCAACAATGCACAGATCCTCACTCAACTGATAATGATCAAGCAATTACTGACTTTGGATGCGCCAAGCATGGCCGAAGGTATTGCAGTGATGGCCGCAAGCGCTCTACTGATGGCTNTCCGAAGGATTCCCTTTGTGCAATTCTGGAATTACACGCGTACCATCTTGAAACCCGGCCAATACCAATGGTTCAATGCGTCTCTGAAGACGCAGATGTACGCTTCTGGAGGCAACGGAGAAGCCGGAACTCAAGCCTTCTTCATCGTCCTCGTTACAGTCTTCCTCATCAACATAATCTGCCTCATCTACTTCATACGCGGCGATGGATTGGTCACTGATTATACAGAGACCTTGAACTTGTTCTCGCTCTCGATCAATAGTCCGCCCTCTGACTTCATGGCGGGAAGTTGTGCCACTGGTCCCACTGACAAACATTTTGGTTCTGGATGGATCATTGAAGATGACGGAGAGGATTTGTCTCTGATAAATCTGGAAGATTTGGAACCCAAGACGGAACCAGATATTCAAGACACTGTGGATGACTCTGTCATGTCTTGATACAAGAGCAGATCCGCAAAATTGAATGACCGTCACATCAGAATGTCGCCTCGTTTCCACGTTTACTCCTCAGCTTTCCGATCTTCTTTCGGATCTTGATATGCATCCTCGAATCTCGACGTGCAGCTTCTGGATCACGTTCCTGTTCTCGCAACCTCTCTCATTCGTCCTCTTTGTCTCCGTCCACTGGGCGGCATCTCGCGCAATAACTCTCACCAATCGCACTCACGCTCCCCTCTTTGACCCCTGACCCTCCATCTCTATCAGTTTGTCCAATTTGGACCGTGCTTCTCGGCTGTGGTGGAGCATCCAAGGCCCCTACTGTCTTAGCATTTCTCGTTCTCTTTCTTTTTCAGTCTCCGATAGCTTGTTCATTCAATACCACTGGTTCCAACCACTGCCATTGCCACTGCTATTGCCATTACGCTTGACCGCAAAACCTTGCAAGCTTCATCAACTCGCGTAAGAAACTCTGAGGGCCATATCGTCCAGTCAGAAGATTTCCGAGAGCCGCAGAGGACATTTTTCAAGCTCCTTACAACAATTTATGTTGCTGTGGGCTATGTACAAGCAAACACAGCATACAAGCAGCCTACATGTCCTTTGGCCCGAACAGGGATGTTGCACGGAGCCTAAAATTCGCTTCAACTGAAGGCTACTGTTCAGGAACCACGAGCGTACCCTTCAACGCATCGCTCTATTACTGTTAGCGGGAGTAAGACACCTCTGCTTAGTTTGGTTGTGTCGCGAGTTGCCTTGGAACGATTCTTCATTTGCGATGTCTGAGTCGCGATCTGTTTTTTTTTTCCCTAGTAGTACTGCTGATGATGTGACCCTGGTCAGAAAATATCACAGCGATGCTAGTGGCAAACAATTCGTTTCAAGAGCTGTTGCTAAATCTTCTAGGGGATTCTGGGACTTCTGGATTTTTGATTGAAATATCCAATTTTTATTGAACTACGAGCTGGAGTAGTGTCTCCTGGTGATTCCCTCGAATTTCCAGCGAAGCGCCACGGTGCGGGGTCGAGATGCCAGCTCCAAGAGGCCGAGGAGGTGCAAGAGGTGGAGGTATAGCAGGAGGAGGGAGGTTCGAATCATTAGCGCAAGGCGGCGCAGAGAGACAGGAGGATGAGGATGAGTTCATGAGGGACAATGGACACCCAGAAAAGAGAAAAAGAGAAGGCAGACAAGGAGGAGCCGAGGACAGCCACATACGCCGACCGATTAACAACGATTCCGACACTGCGTCAGCAGAGGCGACACCTAGAAAGAAGACATCGCCCATGACTACAAGAATGATGACTCGAAGCGCCGAAAAGAAGGCACTGCCACAAGCAGGGAGACCGCCATCCATGTTGAAGGCAGCCCAACACCTAGCGGCAACGGCAACGACACTCCTAGGGAAATAACGATGAACGACATAATGAAGCACTTGTTAGACACCCAAAAGAGAGCCCAAGAGAAGGAAGAACAGTACAGAGAGGAGATTAGACAACTACAGACCACGGTCACAACCCTTGTACTTGACATTAAGAGCCTACAAGAGGCAGCCCCGAACTGGGGATCACTCCAGTCATCCTCTCAACAGACAGGCACAGCCGACTCATATGCAAGTGTAACTGCTCAAGGGGTACAGTTAACAAGCCAGGAAGCGGTAAGAACGCCGTTTAGATCACCAAGAACGTCAGTGTCGTTCGACCTCTCGGACCAGTCTAGTCCCCCAAGATCGCCACCAATTTCCGTAGGGACATCAATTAGAAGTGCAATGAAGAAAACGATGCATTCACAAGAAACGGACATGGTGCTAGACATAAAGAACCTTGATGCAGAAGGACGCACGGGAGCAAATCACATGGCACGAACCAGACACCGAATCCTAGCGGCAATCAGATCTACTGAAGGACTTGACAAGGTCGTATTGAATCAATTCATGATTCGACACACAAATAAAGATGTTCATCTAGCCTACTTTAAGATCGACAAAGATGCAGAGAAGGTAGCAAGAGCCCACGCGGACAAATGGATCGACACGTTCCTAAAAGGAGCAAGACTTATGGAACCCACCTGGTACCCAATCAAGGTAGACTTTGTTATGAAAAGGGAAGCTACGGATCCGGAGACAGGAAGAATCAGCCAAGAAACCCAAGAGGCTTTCTCAAAGGAAAATGATGTCGAAGTTAAGATGATGAGATGGCTAGGAAGGCCGAAGGAATACGCCTCCCACGCGTCCGCAGTTGCTAAACTAGCAACAAAGGAACAAGTAGAGAGGCTACTCCAGAGGCAAGCGGATGGCGAAGAAGTACAGCTATTTGGGTGCATGGTCAACGTATCAAGCTTTCATGACAACAGGGGACCAAGGAGTTGCTACAATTGCCATCAGTTTGGTCACATCCAGAAGGAATGCAAGAACGCCACTAGATGCTCATGGTGCGCGCAAGTAGGCCACAACAGCTGCAAGACAGGCAAACCAAAGTGCAGCAACTGTGGAGGCGACCACCCAGCATCACACAAGAAATGCCCAGAGTATAGGAAGCAGCAAGAGAGAGCCATCAACATACGCCGTCATGACTAGTACACTCAACATTCTTCAAGCAAATCTGAGAAAGATGTCAGGAGTTCAGGATGCGCTATACAACGACGAGGAGTTATGGGGATTTGATCTTATATTAATCCAAGAGCCACACTATCTGGATTTCGGCAACAGCATACATATCACAGGAACTGGACCCAACTTTGAAACAATAAAACCAAAAATCTCACAACAAGACGGCCAGGAAAGAAGAACTCGGTCTTGCATTTGGGCAAGCAGAACGATGGAGTATATGCAACACACAACGACTAGCAGCGACATTACAGCAATTACAGTGCAGAGGGCAGGCCGGAGCATTCTAGTTGCATCGGTTTACATTCCCCATGTCACATCAAACAGAGAAGAGAACGAACAGCAACTTGCAGACCGCGTACAGGATATTCAGAGGATAATCGATAAGGAGAAGAACACAAATCCAGATCTGGAAATCATAGTTGCAGGCGATTTCAACCGGCACGACAGTCTATGGGGAGGATCCCATGTAGCATTAGAGCAAAGGCAAGGAGAAGGAGTGCAAATCCTTGACTTCCTTGAGTGCAACGACTTGCAAGTGCTCACACCAAGGGGAATGATTACGTGGGAAAGGAATGAGCAAAGGTCCACCATCGACCTAATGATGGCAAGCGAACAGCTATACGAAGACAGGATTAACTGCAAGACATGGGACAGTGAGTACGGATCAGACCATAGAGCAGTGCACACAGCATTTTCCGTGGACCAGGACCAGGAACAACAGCAAGCCGAAAGATACCTTCTTCAGAAAGCAGACTGGAACGCTGTCCGCGAGACAATAACGCAGACACTTGCAACTTCACCGTTCCCAACTGCAGACATAGAGGGAATGCAACAATACATCCAGAATGCAACTGAGGATGCAATTAAGCAACATTGTCCTAAGGCAAAGCCGTCAGCACATGCGAAGAGATGGTGGGTACCAGATCTAACGGCACTCCGCCGGGATTACACACGAACGCGAAACCGTGCAAGATCGAGACGTAGGCAAGGCAACAGGGACAGGGAACTTGAAGTTGCAGCAAAGATAGCAAGACATGACTTCCATCACGCAATCAGGAGAGCTAAGAAGCGGCACTGGACCGAGTTTCTAGATGACACGAAGAACATCTGGAAAGCAACAAGATACCTAGACCCAGGAGCAGGATCAAGCTTTGGCAGGATCACGTCAATTAAGAGCCAAAACGGTGAATTGACACAAGACAAACCAAGCATAGCAAAGGAACTCCTAGCTAGCTTCTTCCCGCCACCGCCAGAACCTCAGCAATCAGACGAGACTAGGGACGACAATGCGGAACAGTTCATGCTAAGAGGATTGACGATAGAGGAGATAGAAAGAGCACTATCTGCAACAAGCCATGATCGTGCAGCAGGGAGGGATGGTCTAACGACTAGAGTATGGAGAGAGGTGTGGCCAGTTCTGCAGCAGCAGATCTATCAGCTTTCTCGACATCTCTAAGGCAAGGCAAACTACCAGAGCAATGGAAAGTTGCAAAGATCATTCCTCTGAAAAAGGGAGGTAAGGACGACTACACGCTGCCTAAGAACTATCGTCCAATCTCCCTTCTTGCAACCCTTGGAAAGATCATGGAAGCTGTAATAGCGACTAGGATTGCTTACCTCACTGAGGTCCACAAGTTGTTACCAAACAACCACTTTGGAGCCCGGAAACAAAAGTCAACAATACATGCCATATCATACCTGCAAGAATCTATCTTTAACGCATGGAGGGGGAAGGAAGACTCTCTCGTTAGTCTCCTTTGATGTCAAAGGAGCCTACAACAATGTTGCAACCGAACCGCTATTGCAACGACTCAGACAGAGAAGGATCCCAGAACCTATAGTCAGATGGGTACAGGAGTTCTGCACTAATAGGAAAGCATGTGTTATGGTCAACGGGTTTACATCCGAAGTAGAGGACCTGCCACAAGCAGGACTGCCGCAAGGGTCACCCCTAGCGCCGATCTTGTTCCTCTTCTTTAACGCTAACCTTGTACAACATAAGATCAAGGAGGGCGGATCCATGGCCTTTGTAGACGACTACACGGCGTGGGTGGTAGGAGACTCAGCTGAGCGCAACACAAGAAGAATCCAGAGGGAGATCTTGCCACAACTGGAGAAATGGGAAAGAGAAAGTGGTGCTGTTTTGAATCGTCAAAAACAGCATTTATCCATTTTACTAGGACTTCTTCATTGCAACGGGATAGCGACATGCCATTACGATTCAAGCAAGACACAATAAACCCTAGCCCATTAGTCAAAATCTTAGGAGTCATTATGGACCAAGGATTGAGGTACAAGGAGCATGTTGCAGGCAAAGCGGACAAAGCCTACAAGGCAGCACTGGCCTTGAAAAGGCTGCAAGGACTTAGACCATCAAGCATGCGCCAACTATTCTCAGCAACGGTGGCACCAGTCATGGACTATGCATCACCGATATGGTACCTGGCAGTGTCGGACAAAACCCTAGCAACACTAGAGAGAGCTCAAAGAGTTGCAGCACAGGCCATCATAGGAGGATTCAGAACCATGGGTCTAAACGCAGCAGTCATAGAGGCAGGCATTGCAACAACACGACAGAGACTGCATAAGCAAACTCTCAGATTCTGGATTGACATCCACAAGCTAGATGACTCTCACATCCACCACAAGCTAGCTAAGTACAAGGGCAAGAAGCGTTTCATATCCCCATTACGGAAAGCTGCTATCTTGTTTAAAAGCATTAAGGCTTGTCAAGCAGACAAGATACCTACTGTTGGATCTGAACCATGGGTCCCAAAACCTCGTGTTCACATACTCGACAAAGAACAAGCTAAACAAGCCACTGCCACACAATACGCTACAGTCGACTTTTACACCGATGGATCAGTAAGGAATGGTAGAGCAGGCATTGGCATATGGACATCGACATGGGAAGCGTCAAAGCTAGTAGGAAGAAAAGAAGACACTAATGTTCATCACACAGAACTGCTAGCAATATGGACGGCAATTAAAGGCATCCCAGATGACATGAATAGCCAAGTACGGATACGGGTGTTCTCAGACAGCCAAGGAGCGTTGCAAAGCATCCAGAGTCCAAAGATCAACGACAGTATCAACCTAGTCATGAGAATCAGAGAAAAGATCAGGAAAGGAACGTTTTCTCTCCACTGGGTTCCTGGACACGAAGGAATTGCAGGCAACGAGAGAGCTAACGAGCTGGCTCAAATGGCAACGGAAGAATCACAACCAATGCCAGCACCCGCTGCAACAGTACCCATATCAGTGATCCATGGTAGAGGGAAAGCAACAGGCTTCAAGCCTAAGCAAGAAAAAGTTCTACGGGGCCAAAACCGGAAAGTTCTTACAGAGAATCGACAAAGCGTTGCCAGGGAAGCATACAAAGAAACTGTACGACGCACTCAACAGGACAGACGCTTCTATACTGGCACAGCTTAGGACGAACATATCCAGACTGAATACCTACCTGCACAAGATCAAAGTAGTAGAAACAGACAAATGTGACTGTGGAGTATTAGAAACAGTCCAACACTTCCTGTTCTTCTGCCCACGATGGAGACAGCAAAGACAAGACATGAAATCAGCACACGGCAGGAGATTTGGCAACATATCCTATGCTCTAGGAGGATACTCGGATCACAAGGAGAATGGCGAGATTGTAGATGGGGAGAAAGACAAGTGGAGACCAGATTGGCAGGCAGTAAAAGCTACCGTTGAGTTTGCAAAGGCGACAGGCAGACTGCAATATCAGGGGTGAGAAAGACTAACTGGCAGGAAGTGCCTAGGCACCAACTAAGACATGATCACCATCCCAGCAAAACTGTTACAGAGCAAACCTGGCAGGCGGCCTGGCAGGTGGTTTGGCAGGTAGTTAGGCAGGAAGCACAGAACAGTCTGGCGAACAATCTGCCAAATAACCGGCCAGACTATTCCAGACCTGCCAGACGGCCTGGCAGGTAAGCACTGTAACAACACTGCCTCCATGCAGCGTCCGGCCGATAAGGATGTACGCGACGTAGGGAAGAGCCCTTATGGAGGAGGCTACCGGCCACCAATACTGAGAGAAGGACGTGTACAACACTCATTACAGAGGCACTTAGGAGTTATCGGCGTTGATGTTTTGCACGGTCTGCTGCGACCATACCCTCCTTTCTACTGAATCTGACGACTGCTATTGGTCAGAATATGGTGTAATTAGCGACAGCTCATACCCCTTGCGGGGTAAATAGCTTGAGAAAATCAAATCAAATCAAATCAAATCAAATCGTTTCAAGAGCTCTTGCTACATCCGATACATGCATTGTCAAATCCTTGAGCGTACATGAAGCAACTACCTGCCCGTAGGTGCATAAATGCTGTCACGTCTTAGTGTCAGTCACTTGATACCGTGCACTATGGAGATTCAAATCTGTGCTTAAAGCATGATTGCGATGCAAACAAGAGCAAGGAGAAAATAAAAGGGCAAGGCATTCTCTTTGTTTTTCCGTCTTGACTGTCAAGCCTTCTATACAGTAATCATTACAGAAGCGTTTTTGTACCAACTCAACAATGGGTTCTCGCCGTTTCTTGTCTGAGTATCTTCCACATAAGCCCATCTCTTGAAGAAATCCTCATGCTTCATGACACGTGTGAGTTTTCCTGTGATGGCGCGGTAGATTGCTTCGTTTACTGCAAAGTCGGTCGGGAACAGAATGTCGAAGAAGCCTTGGTGAACCNNTATAGACATGTGACGTTAGTCAAGTGATTTTCTAGATGGATGAAGAGAGTAACATACCAAAGGTGTGGTCACAGGTACCATGCGGCGCTGATAGCGGGTCTGAACCACAGGNGCATTGACACCTTCCACCGCATCAGGCAGAGCGTGAAAGTCTGAAGTAACCAGTTTATGCGCTGGGAAATATTTGTGCAAGATGTCGAAAAAGTGCATCAATCTCGTAGGGATATACTCTGGAGTGCTCAGATTGGGAGCAAATGGCAACTTACTCCTCAACTTTCTGAGCATGGCGGGGGAGTTGCGTAGAGGATGAGCGTAGTTGATGTCGCTGCATGCGGCATCTCTGACGCGCAAGAAGCGTGAAGCCACGGGATCTATGTCTCTCGAGTAGAACTCGAAGAAGTCTCCGTTTGCGTCTACGAGAGCGGAGCCTTGAAGTGGTTCTTCAGTAAAGGGATCATATCTGATAACATCATGGGCAAAGTTATCGAAAACTTCCATGGCTAGGAAGAAACAGGGAGAAGCCTCATAGATGTCCCAGTCGAAGATTGACTTGTTGATGATGGAAACTTTGTCGGCGTGACCTTTTGCTTGAGCATTTCTCATCAATTGGCTTCCCTGAATCGAGGCCAGAGCAGAAGAAACCTCAATGACGCGGAAGCGGGTGCGAGCGTATACTTCAGGATCGGTTTGGCGAATATAGTCGAGGATGTTCATCATCAGAGTTCCGTTTCCGGCACCCATCTCGTAGATGAGCAGGTCATGGTAAGGATATAGTTGCAACTTGTAGTTTGCGACAAGATGGCGGGCAATGGCTTCTCCATAGTAGGGACGGAATAGTTCCGTGGGAGTATGCCATAACTGTCTCGTCTCGTTGTATTCTTTTGCATCCAGCTGATCTTCAAAATCGTTGTACCGTTGACCGTACTCGCGGTAGAAGGACTGTTCGTCAGGAAGTTGGTTGAAGTCGAAAGGCTCGCCAGGGGTCCAAATGACGACGTGCTTTGAGAAGTAGCCGTATTGTGGGTTGTACAGACTGTCCTCGATGAAGTCGCGCATCAGCATGCGGACTCTCCTCGGTCGCTCTTTCCTTGCACGTAGGCCATCCGAGGTGACTTGTGGATATCTCTTGAACTCTTCGAGTTTGTCCGGAGGGAAAGAGGTGCTACGTTGCTGCCAGTTGCTCTCAAGTTTGCTGTCTTCTTTCCTGCGTCCTTGGTAGTTTGGGCTTGTGTATTGCTTCTGCGAGCTGTAAAGTCGGCGAGGAGCGTGTCGCACTTGGCGCGTGAGACATGTCTGGCAAGGGCGATGTTGAAAAAGCTGCCTGAACAGCTGCGACACGGCTGCAGACTCCATGATTGGGTACAGAAGAGGCAGGAGCGACGACCTTGTTGCAACAAGACGGACAAGCTTGCGGTAAAGTCGACATGTGGCTGGTGGAAAACGTGTGGCTGAAGCTGTGGCTGCTCTTTCCCAATACTGACGCAACCAACTTGAACACTCGAACACATTCATTGCAGCATGTGACAATGAAGAAATGTCGCTCGACCAGCACACAAAACTCTACCTGGGTCTGGCCTTCGCTGCCGGCATCCTCATCACCCTAGGGTACAAAGACTTCTATCCAGATCTCGAACGCCGCTACCACGATCGTCTACGGAAGAATCGAACACGCCGCCGCTCCAGCACTCAAGTCTCGTTGCAAGTCAATGAACCTCAGGATGACTCTCCTGCCGCTCCTCAACCAGCCACTGCCATTCGTGAAGGCATTGAAGGCGCAATCGGCAATACTCCCTTGATCCGTATCAAGTCCCTGTCCGACGCTACAGGTTGCGATATCCTGGCCAAAGCAGAATTCCTCAATGCTGCCGGTAACTCGCCCAAAGATCGTGTCGCCCTGTCAATGATTCAAATGGCCGAGGCCGAGGGCTTTCTGACTCCCAACTCTGGCGACAAGGTCTATGAGGGAACTGTTGGCAGCACTGGAATCTCGCTTGCTGCTATCTGTCGCGCAAGAGGTTATACCGCACATATCTGCATGCCGGACGACGTAGCTATCGAGAAGTCCGACTTGCTACTCCGTCTCGGTGCCGTCGTTGAACGGGTCCGTCCTGCCTCGATCGTCGATAAGGGTCAATTCGTCAACATGGCTCGCGCTCGTGCTCAACAACATACTTCAGACCCCAATCAGAAAGGCCGCGGTTTCTTCGCCGATCAATTCGAGAATCCCGCAAACTACCTGGCGCATCTACACGGAACAGGTCGCGAGATCTTCGAGCAGACTGGCGGTCAACTGGATGCTTTCGTCGCAGGTGCAGGCACAGGAGGAACCATTTCTGGCTGTGCTCTCTACCTCAAGCCTCGTCTACCAAACATGAAAGTCGTCCTGGCAGATCCTCAAGGTAGCGGTCTATACAACAAGATCAAGCACGGTGTCATGTTCTCACCAACCGAGAAAGAAGGGACTCGTCGTCGCCATCAAGTCGACAGTATAGTCGAAGGCATCGGTGTGAATCGTGTAACTCACAATTTCGAGGCTGGCAGAGAGCTCGTCGACGATGCTGTCAAAGTCACTGACGATCAAGCCATGATGATGGCTCGTTGGCTGGTCGAGCGCGATGGTCTTTTCGTGGGCAGTTCTTCGGCTGTCAACTGCGTTGCTGCCGTCAAGACTGCATTGGAGCTCGGTGCCGGACACCGTGTCGTCACTATTCTCTGTGACTCTGGCACAAGACATTTATCAAAATTCTGGGCCAAGGCTGGTACCATCGGAGGAGATGACGAGATGACAATGGACGGCATTCTGAATCCTAAACCATCAGCTTCATGAACCTAGGCCGTGTCGATCCAGCTCTACACTCAAATTCGTAAATAATACACAGCCGAAATTTATGGCATCATACAACAAATGAATCCCCTGCAAGACTCTTTCTCGGTCCGTCAATCTAGCTTTGAGTTTCTTCGCATGTTGAGACAATTATTTGGTCATTGAGCTTCGGTTGCCCAAAGGAAGTGCGCAAATTTGCGATCGATCATGCTCAACGGGAGGGGAAACCGCATCATGGTTCACATATCAGGGCAACCTCGACTGTCTGCATCGAATAGCCATAAAGACTTCAAGGTGCCTTGAATGTTTACTCTCTTCTACACCCGACCTACATCACAATCACACGAGGCCTATCTTCCAGCTCGTACGCACTTATGTCCACATCATCGAACGTTATCGCCGACTGTCCTGCTCGCTATCCATACCTGCAGAACAGCTACAATAATGCGATGCTATCTGACGTAGTGATTTGCTTCGAAGATGAAAGAGTATACGCCCACAAAGTCGCTGTGATGGCAGCCTCTGGAGTGTTCAATGCCGCTTTCAACAGCAAGTTTCCAGTCGCCGACCAAGGCACTTTCGAGATTAAAGGATACTCGACTGACGTTGTTTACGCTATGCTTCGTCATATCTACAGCAAGCCTCCCGAAGAACCTTCACCAGCTAGAGGATTGGAGGAGGAGCTTGAGCATCACTTCGCTATATTTTTGATCGCCAACGAATATGAAATTCAGTCTCTCTGTCGATCCAGTGCGCAGAGTGTCGTTCAGATGATCAAGTCAATACCTCTCCCAAACCCATTGCCCTGGTATTACCAGAAATGGCCTTCTGAGGAGAGATACTCGCGGTCGCGTGAACAGTTGTCCCTGATCTTGGTAAGAACGGCAACGCTGTACATTGATTCCAAGATTGCGGACACATCGCTTTTGGACACAGTGCTCCAGACCTACTTCGATTTGTTTTCGGATCTGGATTCGATGAAGCGTCATCTGAAGTTGTGCGACGTGCTTGAGCGAGTGGATGTTTTCTGTTCACGTTTTCTTCAAGCCTTGCGGCGCTCTAAGGCATGAGCTTACGCCAGTCGGCCTCTCGTGCCTAAAATTGAATCCCTCTGGATATCCTCGGATCCTACATAATGTGCGAATTTTGAGATCAATTCTGTAGTTGGAGGTCGAGTCGTATGCCACATCGGTCGACTCATTTGAGCAACGTGCGCCTTCAGAATCTAGCGAGACTGACCAAGCACCAAGCATGATTCACCCTCATCGTTTGACAGTCATGATTGCCAGATTGCACATCAGCCATCAGATTAGATATCCTATGTCAAGTCGAGTCCGGGCTTAGAAGTGCGCATGTTTAAGAGCCATTGTATACACAAGGCATACACCTCAGAATGCTGCCGTATGACTCACACTTTGCGATATCATCTACTGCTCTTTTCAACCTTGATTCCGATACCCACAACCTTCAATTACCACGTCTCGAAGCTCCTACAGTCCATTACCACACCCCTGTCACCCCATCAAAGATGTTTACCCTGCAGGCTCAACCTTCGTCCGGCCTATTGGTACGCTATCCATACATCAGCGCGAGTTACAACGACAAAACAACCTCAGACGTCACCCTCTGCTTTGGCGACAACGAAAAACTCCATGCGCATAAAGTCCTCTTACAAGGCGCCTCCGGCGTCTTCAACAGAGCCTTCAACAGCCTACTGCCAGTCGCCACAAAAACCGAGTATAAAATTCTGGAGCACCCAAGTGCTGTCGTCTACGCCATGGTCAAATACATCTACGGCTCACCTCTCGAAGCCCCACCTGGTATGGTTGCGGTAGAAGACCAAATCGACTACCTCTTCAACATTTTCGCCATCGCCAATGAGTATGAAATCCCTTCTCTGGGTGAAGCAGCCACCCAACGCATCTTCCAGATCATAAAGTCGTGTTATATCGACGCCAGTTCACATCGCCTAGTTCCCTGCGATCAGGTCCTACAAGGAAGAAAACAGTTTGGCTCTATTGTGGCGAAAACAGCACATCTGTACATGAATTACGAGATTGCAGATAAGTGTTTGATGGATGGTGTTATCGAAGCTTGTTTTGAGCTTACACCTGGCTTTGTGTGGTTGGAGGATAACATCCATCTTTCGGAAATAATTGAGGCGCTGGATCCGTTTAGTGGACGGTTGCTGAGACAAGGTGTTTTCAGGATGAGGAGAAATCCTGCTGTCACGCGGCCATTTTCTCAGCCATGGTTTGGCCATGTTTGAGATTTGGCGAATGCAGCAGGTGGAGGTTGGATGTTCGAGAAGCCGCTTTGAACTGACCTTCCTTGCTTGGGATTATCTACGATGGTTTTCTCTTTGACACACGACACTATCTCCAGAACCATCGCATCGGCGTCACCAACCAGCAATCATCTACACCCTAAAACCACCAGTTGTGCAAGTGCGATAAGGCAGAAACCCCTTTTAATCCACTCTACGCTAGAAATCAATGGCATTACCAATTGTTTCTCGGAACTCTCTCGCCCAACAACGCAAACAGAAGAAACAGACGAAAGGGCGGTTATTCTCCCCACAACCCTTGTATCCTCCCTCATATACCTAAGAGGCAAGATCGAACCATTACCACCTTTGCCAAGCGAGGACTACAGACCTTCTTATGGCACTTAACAATCACAACATTCTCTGTCTCAACAACCGCGAGAACCGCTTTTCTGCACCCACACCAACAGGCTTCACAACTCCAGTTACACTTCTCCCGCGATCTCACACAATTTTTGCAGGAAAAGAACTTAGAAGTTCAAGAAAGATTCTAGATCTTCTGTGATTCTTGGTTTTCTTGACCGAATCCCTATCGACAACCATCACGCTAAAGAGAAACAGAACGAAATAACCCGTCTTGCCATACCTCTTTCCCCTTTTTCTTAAGACGAATGGCAGAAGAATAACAAGTAGCTCTATAGGGTTCTATAACCCTTCTTTCGTCAAAACTGGATACCGCTGCTCTATTTAAGCCTAATAGCCAATCTCTTAAGATGGTTTTTGCAAAAGTTAGTCTTGTTCTTTGCTAGAGCTGTTTGCTTCTCTCTAAGGCTATGTAGAAGAATCGAGAAAAAGAAATCAATCACTAAGACGAAAACAAGAAAAAAGCAGGAGAGGGTTTTCTATCCAGTAGATTTCTGTTTCCCTTGTGTTCCTAAGGAGTCTTCTGAAGGTACGGAGCTTGCTTTGTGGTTTATGGTTTGTAGTACTGGGTTTTTTTCTAGTTGAAGATAGCAAGTGACGATTCATTGTTTTCTGTATACATACGAGATATCAAGACTCGAAAATCCTACACATGGAGGAATACAGCACAGACAAAAGTTGTAGGGAGTGAAGATAAGGATAAAGATGAAAATTCATGGAGATTGGGGTAACCCTGTTTCATCTCATCCGACACCACATTACCATTCTCCCTGCAACGACAAATCTCATACCTTTGCTTCTGAGGTAAGAAATTTTGTTTAATTATCCTATACGTGTTCTAATTTATACTCTACCAAAAACATAGAAGTGATGTTACTTACTATTAGAATTAATCTGATTCTGTAGACGATCTCTATCACTAGCATCACGACTAAACACAAAGACGCGAAATCCTAGGCTTATCGGTCTCAAAAACAAAACTCTATAAAACCCACAAAAGTAAATCCGACTAAGGAAATCTACCGACCGACGAATTCCAGAAGTCAATGTCTAGATAAAGATACAAACTGAAATGAGATTGTATACACAGCAGCAGACAACATAACAACAAAACCACAAACGAAAAACCAATATCAGCATATATAAGCTAGCTTCTAGCAAACCCCAGAAGCAAAGAAAGAGGTAAGTAAAGAAAGTCAAGGTATGCCACAAGGTTATACATTGCAAGCAAAACTTCGCTCCAAAACAAGCAGAAAGCTTGAGATAGTATAAACACACTTGAGAAGCGAAAAGGGGAGAAGATAGAAAGCTTTCAGACTTTGATTGGGTCGATTCTCAAGATCTGATATGGGAGGTCGTTTGGATGTCTTTGTTACCAAGAGGTGCCTGTCACCTATTTTCTTGACCACGTCATTCTTGTGTGGCGAAGCAGTTGAATGCTTATCTTGCTGGAGCTTGATGTGCTTTGTATACTTCGTCGAGCGTTGAGGATGTCCAAGAACCTTGATGCAGTCGATATCGCTCAAAGCTTTGTTGGCAAGAAGTCAGTCAAGAATGTCTTCGGTCAATGACGATAACGATGACTTTGTCAGTGAAGACTATGGCAGTACACACAAGATCACAGAACTCAAGAACTATCACACGTAGCAAAGGGCTTGCCCCTTGGACCCTGGAAAGAATGCCCTAGTGTCGAGTACTAGGGAGTTCATGCCCTCGACGAGAACTGCGTGTCCCTACGGTCGTCCGAACAACAAGAGGTCGCTATATCCGATATCGCGTGGCTTGAGATCCTCTTCAAGATCCCTCTTGGAGTAGTCGGCCATGGTGACAGGACGGAACATTGTAGACAAGGGGCTAGGAATGGTCTTGCTGGGGCAGGTCGTTCGTCTGACATACAAGAGCTCTATGACTTCGGGTCGGATGAGTGCGTTGCAAAACTTAGTTGTCAGCATGTCAGCGACGCTCTCGATGAGTGATCGGTCAGCGATCGCATTGTCTCGGTACAAGGCAGAGATGTGATCAAGTATGAAGCTCAAGATTTCGTGATGTTTATTGCGACTTGATGACTTGTCGACAAGCATTGCGCATAACTCTGTGACGTTTTCGGTAATGGCTCGGCAAAGTGAAGGCACTTGATACTCGTTGGCGATGGTGAAGCATTCTAGAATCCATTCTGATGTACGATCCCATGGACAGTTGATTGGCTTGTAGTATGGCTTGTCTGATGACGGTGATTTGTAAATATATTTAATCATGTTTTCGACAACTTCTGGATCGTAGCCGTCGATCTCGTAAGTACTCGCTCCAGCANNATCTGCAGGAATGTTTTAGTGTCAAGGCATGAAGTCAAAGTCCCGTTCATTGATCGGTCGTACTGAGAAGTTGCTGCTAAAAGCAGTGTAGAACAAGCCAGAAGCTGCCATGAGGATGGCCTTGTGCGCGTAGATGCTACGTTTGCCACACTTGATGACAACATCAGATCGGATGGGATTGTTGTAAAGTATTCCCTGATGCCATGATGGCCGGGCACTCATGGTGTCGAGGGGAGATGTTCAGGAGCTGGCAAGTGTCGGTTTGTGGTTCGAAGCGTGGTGCAAAAATTGTTTTGAGTCGTAAGTTATGAAGGTGATTTGAACAGAATCTTCCGCGTGTTGGCAGGTTGGCGTGTCCAGAGGTGTGAATCTGGAAAGCGCGACATGATCTCTGACCGAGACAAAGAACGCGGCGGAACGTGAATGCAGCAAGAGGATTCAAGACACAGCAATCAAGCCTTCGGTGCAGCTGTAAAGAAAGCATGCTATCGCGACCTACGGTTGACAAAACTCAAAAGCCATGATGTGAATCACGATTCATGCGTCTCTCGCTGCTATGATTACAGTGTGAGCTCTCAACCCACAAGGTACTGCCCGTAAAGAGTGATGTTTGCAGTTCCCAGGTGATACCAATGGTCACGCTGCTGGTCTGAAGACATCTCGGATGCTACACCGAAAGTTGTGACAGCCTCTAGCAATTAGGAGTCAGTAGAACAGATCATCTAGCATACAATAGCAGAGGTCGAAGCCGCGGATCACAGGACGCTGCCTCACTCTAGTCATGGCCACACCCTCGGTTTGAAGCTGTGCGGAGAACGTGGGTAATAGCATAATCTGACATGTGTTGTGATCGTCAGAGTTTCCGGTGTCGCTGATACTCGTGATCAATATGCTCGTATAAGCCGTGAAGATATCTCTGTTGCCAATATTATCTTCGTACTCCAACATCGGCGGTGCTGCGGTGTTCGAACCGAAGGGTTGAACCTTGGGAGAGGCAAGGCACAGGGACCAAGGGCTCGTGGACGTGCCTGCAGATCTGACGTTGGTTTTGCACGTGGTGTTGAACATAGCTCCGAGGTACCAGATCTAGATGTTGCTCTCTCCAGGGTACGAGCGGGAGCATGACAAGTGGCATGGAAATGGAGCAAACGGTCGATAGGGCTGAACCCGGGGTGAGAGGGATTGTAGAAAGCAATCTCGGCAATTGGACTAAATATGACGAGATGGCTTCAACAGTAGTCGGCCTCCAAAAGTATTTCGTCGCGAGAACAGACGACACGTCGGGAGAAAATGCAACAGTTAATGGAAAGGCAGTCTTTGATACGAGCGTTGACAAGAAAGAGAGTTTGATTGCCCATCGACGGTTGAATACAAATGTCAGGCTCGCGTGTAGAAGGTAAAAGTCGTGACTCGAGCAGGGTTTGAAACGGTAAAAAGATCGGAAAACGTCTCGAAGCACAGGGTAAATCACAACGGCTCTCGGTTTTGAAGCCCGCCGATTGGAAGAGCCGAGATTGAACATGGTGGTGGAAATGGGTAGGGTTCGTGAGAGCGAAACATGTCTGGTTCCTTGACTAGCAGTGACGGCAGGTGCAAGAAGAGGAGGGGTGTGAATCGTTGAAAGAACGAAAGGTCGCCGGACAAAGGGTAAGAGTCAAGAGGCTCCGGCAGGCGGAGGCCGGCGTTTGTAGAGCCGCTTTCTGTTGCCAACGGCCGTGACTGCCTTCTGGAAGGAACAATGAAATGCGAAAGCCACGAGACATGGACGTTCAGGATTGTTCTTACCAGATAATCATCAATATCCCGTCGAGCTCTTGTTGCATTTTTTCCACGATTGAGAACATCACTATACGACTCTGGTTATCATCGGCGAGGCTCGCCCTGGCTCGTTCGTCTCTGGAGGAGTGGCCGTGCGTTTGCTCGGTCCACATGCGGGAGACGGTTAGACTTGTACCAGTGTCTGACTAGCAGCCACCCAAAAAGGAATCGAAATGGAAAAACGTACGGTTAACATGCCGGCCATGGTCAGGGTAGATAGATGGCCGGACAGGCCGTCATTCTCGTCGTCGCCATTGTCGTTCGTTGTTCGTTGATGCCACCTCGACGCTGGTCGGCCGGACGATCTTACGGAGTCGAAGAAAGTCTGTGGCGCTGCTGATGCGAAACATCGGACATTGTACATTTGAGCCAACGCCCACCTGAAACGCAGACAAAGACCGGCCCTGTCGCAATCCTGGTCAGCTCAAGACACCCGATCTGACTGTGTGCTCGACATTGTCGTGTCTCTGCAGCATGACGGCAACTGTAGACTCGTCTTCTGCACATGCGGCAGTGTCTGCCTCTGCAGCACCAACAGCGCCCGCCATGGGTTACTCGTATGCCAATTCAACCGCCAGCGACGCCCCCTCCCTTGCCTCGGCATCCACCTTCACTACCACACCGCCAATCGTCGCCAATGTCAAGCCTGCGCCCGAATACATCTCGCTATCCAGCGCCTCCCAGCTGGCCACTGAGATAGCTGATGCTCGCGCCGACGAGGACCGTTCATGGCGACTTCATCCCAGAGCCACCGTAGCCGAGAACGCCGTCGCTGCAATCAATCAGTTCCTCGATCGCCAGCTCTACGAATATATTAGTGTCGCCAGAACCACTTCGCTCAACGCCTTGAAGCCCGCTGTTACCGAAGTCCTCAAANAGAATCTCGCAAGGGATGCAATCGCCAGTGCTGAAGACAACCTCGAGGATCTCCTCGCTCTGCAGGCAGACGATGAGTTCAACGACGAATCTCGTCCATCGAGCCAGAGCGGTGCCAGATTCAACCTCGACTTTACATGGAAGAGATCGCGTCTAAGAGTCATGATGCGCACAGAAAAGAGCGAGTTTGATATTGATGACGATGAGCGCTATGTGCGCGAGGAAGGCCTCAACACAACGTTTTCAGAGACCGCCGGCGTTATCAGTCTGGCATCCGAGATCTTCTTGGCTGGCGTGCTTGACTATTTGGGTGAGATGCTGCTCACTATGGCATCTCAAGTCGCCCTTAGTCGTGTTCAACGTGCCGCTACAAGCTCGAACTTGCCTGGTAATAGCGACGAAGTCACATACGTTCTCGTCGATGACGGTGACCTGGAGCGAGCTGTCCTCAATTCTCCTCTGGATCGTCAGTGGCGTGCTTGGAAGAAGTCGATTCGCATGCTAAATCGTGCTTCCCAGCAGAGCCACTCAGTTGCAAGCAGTCCAGTTGTAATTCGCAGAGGCAGTTTGTGGGACCGCGTCTCAGACCACCCCGAGAACAATTACCCCGAGCATGTTCTGGCTTCCAACATTCCATTGCCCGAGAACCAACGCGATGTTGATGAGATTGAAGTCCCAGGTCTTGCCAGGGACCCCGATCGGCCGGAGTCTGCTCAGCAAACTTACCAAGGTCCTCGATTTTACCGTCCGCAGAGCGCTGGTTTTGGTGCTCATCGACAACATCAGTCAGTGAACCTCGCTAAAACTCGACCCGTCTCAGTTCCTATGCCCATGACGACTCCACTCGTCGAAGCTCCCGGTGCCTGGCCTACTGATACGCCGGTTGTGGAGATTGTCAATCCTAATGCACAGTATGCCGAAGGCCAAGCAGGAGAAGGTCTCCCCAGCGTACAGATGGACGATTCTGAGAGACCAGAGTCAAGGGACAGCGCTCATACCGAAAAAGCTTCCATTTCGTCTCAGCCCACAAGTCTCAATGAGACTCTGCCCGCCATGAAGGTAGTACAGCGACCTAAGAGACTCGCCATTTACGGTCCTTCATCAGCCAGATATACACAAGCATTCAATCTTTCTCAAGAGGGTTTAGAGCTTGCTGCAGACTTGGACCGTCCTTTCAGCCCTGAAGACTTCTTGGCAAGTCGAAATTTGAGTGGCTCTCACTCGGGTTTGACACCTACATCCAGTCACAGTAAACCTCAAGCCCTCGGCTCTCCTGCCGAGCTTTCTGCTGAGACATTCATGGAGTCCGACAGCGGCAGTGATACAGAAAACGAGCCAGAACCCATTGTTCATACAGCCCTCAGCTCTCCCGTCATTGCTACCAGTCCTTTGGCGAGACAGTTCCCTGGTCTAGGGATTTCAAGGTCCGGATCAGGAGCTTCCTCAAGACGCGAGAGAACTCCGGTCTCTGAACAACGCGTCTCAGCCGACTTTGTGAAGACGAGAAGGAGTTCAAAGTTGACAGATTCAGACTCAAGTAGTCCTGGCAAGACAAGCAGCCTTCGACAAGTTTCAAGACAAAGTGTGGATGAACGAAAGAAGCTTCCTACCTCATCCATGACATCGGAANAAGACTTTGATGCTCTTCTGCAGAGAGACGAAACAATCAAATACACGTTAACACCGGAAAATGTCAGAGACTCGTCTGATCGCATATTTAGCCCACAATCAAGAGCCCGAAAACCAACCTTGTTGAGCTCGAATTCCCGGGAGAACTCCAGAAAAGACAGTGATGCAGTATCGGTACGCTCCAACAGTGCAAAAGCGGCCAGTCAAAAGAAGGACTCAAAACCAGTTGAGGAAGCCAGGAGAAAGACTTCAATCAGTCGTCCCTCGCCGCAGAACTTGCATGTTCTATCTTCAGGACAGATGGCGCGTGAAGCAGTCATGCAGACTGAGTCAACAAGAGACCTCGCAGACTTCCTCCGCTCGACTGCTCCGGATAGGGAACCGAACCCAATCGTTCCTGGTCTTGCTACTAGCCGCAGTCTGTCTTCCATCCGCGCCACAGCTCAGGCACAGGCCGCAAGCGCGAGAGATGCTCCACCGGTACCCAAGCCAACCACTTCTGGCGGCGGCAAGTACATTCCAAGAAGCCCCGCAGGGCCACCACCANAGCGTTCAGCCAACCGACCCAACTTGACGGCTAGAGCAGCAACAGGATCGTCTGATAACAACAGCGACCTGATTGACTTTATCAGAGGTGGTCCGCCTGGTCCCGATGGCAAGGCTCGCGTCCCAAAGAACATCGCTCCCTTCGCAGACTGGGATGGTGGTGCGTCGGATATGCCTCAGAATTCGAGTCTTAACAGGCCTTTGACTTCTTCCACGTCCGACTCTCGTACTGGACTGTTGATGAACGGATCCTCAAGCACCAACTACGGCAGCAGTAGCACACCCAAACTGCCTATGTCGCCCTTGACTCAGTCCGGCTCCCCTGCCTTGAATCTTCTCCTACCTAACACACGTTCTGTTGTCGGCAGCGACGGTCGTACACGAAGTAGAATCAAGGATCCTTATGCCATTCCTGACGATTCGGATGATGAGGACGATGAAGATGACGTGCTTGCCGCACTGCCAGCTACTACCAGCAACAGTGCTACTGTGGCAGGTGCTGAGAAGTCACGATCTGGCTCAATCACCGACATGCACTCTTCAGCTGGACGTTCTCCTGCTTTGGGCAACGGCACCACTCCTACTTTGTCGCCCAACCCGGGATATGCTCCAAGTATCAACAGCATTCGCACAAATACCTCGACTACTGCAGTTCGTCCTGCCCATATTACCTCACAGATTTCCAGTGGCAATATACCTCGCAGCAACAAGCCAAAGATGGAGATACGCTCAGCTGGTGTGGTCAGGAATGCTAGGCTCGATCCATACCACTCTTCTGGCACAAGCGATCTTGCTGATTTCCTTATGTCATCGGGGCCTCCGGAGCCAGTACAGCGATCTGCTCCTGCTCCTGCTGTCGGTAAGAATGGCAAACCAGAGAAGGCCGAGAAANAGAAGACCAAGTTTTGGCAGCGGTCTTCTTCTGCCAAGAACACTTACGTTGACATGCCCTGATCGACTTCTCCTCCTTACGATTTCTCGCCTCCGATTATTTCGTTGGGATCTCCATTTCATGTTGGATCGTATCTCCAAGCTGGTATACACACAACTCGGTAACGAACAGCACGCAAGTTTCGAAAGCTTATCCCCAAGATGAAGTATTGCGGGTGCTTAGATGGACAAGACTATGTGATAGAACCCTGGAAGTTGGTTTCAGGATGAAACAGGTGGAGTGAGAAACTTTTTCTTGCAGATTTGAAGATTTTCCTTTGTATTATAGGCGCGGATGGATACCCCTTTTGTTTCTGTTGTATAGTAGACAACGATTTCTGATTTGACCACCTAATTTGCTTCTTCTTGCAATCTGTTTGCTGCCTCGAAGGAGTCTGTGAACCTGGCTTTCTGATGCAGACGGATCTCGGTGGTCAGAGAGCAGAAACCCTGTCTTTCTCGGGAGATCTGCGGGCTGTGCCTGCCGTGCTGAAACGTGAGCCCTGAAGTTACCACGCTTTTCTTCCTATCCTTGTATGCTACAAACATCTCGTGCACGCAATTGCTACCGTTCCTGTTCCTCCATCTATCACTATCTCAATGACGATCACCAGTATGTGAATCTTTGCGTTGCTCAGCTCTACGTAAGAATCAAAGGTGAGCCCGACATGATAGAACGCCTAAGGTAAGCAAGAAAATCATTTTGCTGCTGTGACGACGTATAGACAACACAGAAAAAAGCTTTGAGTTTCAGGCCTCCCCTTGCCTCCATCCAAATCTCAACTTGGATCGACAAACTTCACATAGCTGGACCAGGTAACTGGACCGAAGGCGACGGTCTATCGCATCTCTCGAGCCCTCGAATAGTAACGATTTGCATACCTCCTCCGCTCAGCTAGGGTCACTCGACACGGATTTCTGTCGCATCTTCGAAGCTTATGGGCCATGGTTTGAGCGAAGAAGAACTTGGACCTGTGTTTAGGCAACCGGTGCACGTATGTCATTACCATCCAACTACACATGTCACCAACCACATGGCGTCAGCCATTAACAGCTTGTTTGACTCGGTTTTCTAGAGGAAATTTCGATTTGGGCAGTGATCTCAACAGCACTGTCGTATCCGAAAGTGTGAATCATATTCGGCATGCTAGTTGCCAGGTCGAAGAATGACTCGCTTTGACAGCTGCCATGTGTGCAGCCACGTTGTCCCCCGAATTTTCTTTGGTAGCTCGCTCTCGTACCACAACAGGCCTCGAGCATACCATGTCAAGCTCGTTTCTCCTGACAACCAGCTAAACTCTTTGCAAGGTCGGATCAACAACACGAACCCGTGATGACCGCGTCTCTGTACTCATATAGCCTCGCTCAAAAGCTTCCTACGGGTCGTGTTGTTTCACCCTCAAAGATCCTAACTGTATCCACACCACCTTCATCACTGCATCATTACCGTTTGCATCATCTCGGGTGCGGCAGCTCGATTTTCATTCACATCTGAGACTGTCTGTCGAAGTATATTCGAGACTCTTCCAACCTATATAAGGACGAGAAGACTTGGTCACAATGTCGAGACCCAGCCTTGTCAGATCGCATATCTCGACATACAGTCAGATCAGCAACAAAGATCCGGACACTATCATGTCGCAAAATCCGTATGGACCCACCACGCCTTCGTCGCAAAAGTCCAATAAACAGCTTGGGTACGATCCTAGTACACCAAAAGGAAGCGGTGTGCCCCTTTTGAGCACATCCCCTGCTCAAGAGACTCACCAGACTGCAAGATTCGTGTCTCCACCTCCAGCAAATCCAGGTTCCCGGTCAGGTACCTCCACTGGTGGTCCTTCAACGGCGGTCATCCCTCGCCCTGGCACTGCACAAACGAATCAAGCCAGAGAACGGTCTATGAGTCAATCCAATACGCAATCATATTGGGGTCCTCTGCCTCGCAACTACAACAGAGATAGCTTTGATATGGGAAGCCGTCCAGCATTCTACAAACGCCACTCTTACAATGACTACGAGAACATGGGAGCACAATTCGAGGATTCTGATACACAAGCTTTGGAACCTACTCCTCGCGCTCAAGCCAAGCAAGCTTCTGTAGATCCTTTTCCAACTGATGTTCAGAGGATCCCTGTCAATGCCGATAGCCCTTTACATCAGCTGCAGCAAGTGCGACGGGCGCCATCGGACTCGTTTAGGAGTCTTCGCTATGATACGAAAAAACGATCTTATCGATTTGACAACCTATCAGAGATCGGGAGCGAAGGAAGCGCTGGTCGAGGTGTTCAGTCAGGCTCCTTTNACAGAAATGGTAGACCTTCTACCCCTGTGGAGGAGATCCTGAGGTTGCCATTGACCTGGTGGATGAACTCCACAGCAAAGAATCGTGAGTCGCCTTCCAAATCTTGCTTCTGATTCGGAGCACAATGATCGCTAATGCAACCACGCAGACNNTTCGTAGCTATGATTGGCGAATTTGTCGGCACCACCATGTTTCTCTTTTTCGCCTTTGCCGGCACCCAAGTCGCCAACATCGAGGCCTCGACAACGACTACCACAAACGCAACCAACGGCTTTTCTCCCATTGTCCTACTCTACACAGCAGTCTCTTTCGGCTTCTCGCTCATGGTAAACGTCTGGATCTTCTTCCGCATCTCTGGCGGTCTGTTCAATCCAGCCGTGACACTCGCCATGGTCATGGTAAAATCCCTAGACTACATTCGCGGCTCCCTCCTCTTTCTAGCACAGATCTGCGGCTCTCTGTTAGCGTCTGTACTGGTGAGGGCACTCTTCCCCACACCCCTCAACGTACGAACCACCCTCAGTGCCGACACCAGCAAAGCCCGCGGCGTCTTCATCGAAGCAATCCTCACCGCCGAACTCATCTTCACAATCTTCATGCTGGCANAAGAAAAACACCGCGCCACTTACATGGCACCCATTGGCATTGGCCTTTCCCTCTTCATCGCCGAATTAGTCGGTGTGTTCTATACTGGTGGCTCTCTCAATCCTGCAAGATCTTTTGGGCCCTGCGCGGTTACGGGGGTTTGGGATAATGAGCATTGGGTCTATTGGCTTGGACCGGGTTTGGGAGCACTGATTGCGGTGGTTTTTTATAAGTTTATCAAGATTTTGGAATATGAGATTGCGAATCCGGGACAGGATGCTGAGACGGAGGGAGAGGGGGCGAGGACTAGGGATGGGCTTTGGAGAAAGAAGGATGAAGAGGCTTGAGGGTGTAAATGTGGTGGGTTTGTAGTCGCATGAGGTCGTCATGGAAGGGAAAGCTACCGGTGTATTAGAGGCCGTAATGCGTGTAGCTATGAAAATGCACATTATTATGAGGGAAGACAGAAAAACTTTTGCTCAGAAAAGACGACTTATTGGCTCTCGATGGACATGGCTCTTTTTTAAAAACAACTGTGCCTTTCTGTAGTGTACATTTTGCTGTCTTTGTCAAGCTTAAGATATGTCAACAGTAACGCAGCGGCAGGAGCGATGCTGACAACTTTGATTCCAGCCCACCAGAGACGAACGAGAGATGAGGCGCCGTATCCGAAGCAACATATGAAAGACGATAATGTCGTTTTACAGTTCATCGTGTGTGATGGCTTTCGGTGGTTCACTTTCCACCATCGGATCATTAACAGCTTGATACTCAGCAAACTGAGCCACAAGACCAACCCCAGAATCCCTGCGAATCAAATCCAAATCCGCTTGATCAGGCAAATAAATGGTGAAACTAACATCTTCAAAGTCCTCAGGATCGTCCCAACGGCGTTTGATGTGTGGGCTCAAGTCTTTGCCAATCGTTGTGAAATGCTCTGCGATGGTGTAGCCTGGCTGGAGATGGATTTCATAGGTATCTAGGGGTGTGTAGACTTCCATGTGCCAATCGAGGTTTGCGGGCTCGATGGGATGCATCTCGGGTGGCGGTAGAAGCGTATACATGGCTTGTAAGGGACAGGTAGTAGAGAGGATCAAGAGAAGAAGATTGAGTGGATGCATAGTTGCAGAGCTTTCGCTACGTGCTAATGGGTGTCGATTGTGGGTAGGGATGGAATAGTAAGCAGTACTTTTTATCAGTAATTTGCTTAGGTACTTTAGTAGTTGGCAATTGGTTTGCAGAAGAAACGTCGTTAGGAATTGCTTACTTGTTCACATGAGTTTGCCACCGCCGAGCCTTTTTCCTAAGATAGGAGATAGATGATCGGACTTGCATAAATTATGCACCGAGTTATACACATGTAAGATGCTAGGTGTTGCATTTCTTAAGGGGAATGGATCGAATGTGAACACTTTCCATAGAAATATGAATCTATCAATGTCACCATGAGTGTGCTCGAACAGTTTCCTGACTTGCATGATTTCCGGTCACTAGAATATAGCACCTGTGCTGTCAGTACCAGCTAGAGCAAGGGTAAACCATCGATACTTACGATCCAAGAACATTTCCAGATCAGTTGTGTCCCCTTTGAGTACGAAACCACCATCTTGCCACTCATACCCATAGCGCAACAGTAAACCAAGTTTCCTGGCCTTCTCAATCGTGGAAAGTTGGTCAGCAGGTAGACTTAATTGCTCTTGTAAAGCCATAGAAAATAGCTTTCTGTATGTAAGAGAGTCGTCGTCGTGCCACGTATATCCCTTGGGTCCCCAGGAGCCCAGTACAGACTCGACGCCCCAGAGACCTTTGCCGAATGGCCTGATTGAGGCATCTACCCAATCGACTACACCCACTAGGTTTCCTGTGGCTCTGTTGAAGAGAAGGTTCATGCTCGAAAGATCGTCATGGGTCAGCACCCAGGGCAGTCTAAGAATGTCGTCAAGCGCCTCTCTGCAGTTCCTGATGTGGCTGAGCAGTGGGCCTGATGAATTGTCTTCGAGCTCTGCCAACTTGATCTTGCACGTTTGACGGACACAAAGGTATTCCTCTCTACTGGGTGTCTGCGGTGATTGCCAGGCTTGAGCGTAGAACCTACGATTGGTTGACCATCAATTGTCATGTCTCGGGAACTTCTGTGGCAACACGAACCTACTTCGCCATATCTGTTACCGTCGCTGGCAGTTTTGTCTTGATGTCAACATCGTCATCGTCCAGGACATAAGCGAAGCCGAAACCGGGAATCTTGCTCATCTTCCAAACAGTGACAGAAGTATCGTCAAAGAAGCCCAAGTACTCCATCGTTGGCACCAGATTGGGATGTACTTTCTTTGCAAGGTTGACAGTGCTTTCAACCAGTGGGGATTCTGCCGATCTGAATTGTATGACAGTATGCTCATCTTGTGACTCGACTGTATAGCTGTGACAGCCTTGCCAACCTAGCGGGTGGACTGGTTGGCCTAGAACTTTCTCTGCGTACTTGTCGCATGAGGCTTGCGATATTTTTGTGTGCGTGTCGAACAGATCGATGGGATGTTGAAGGTTAGGATCCATGAGAAGAGACCTGCGTTCGTGCTCGATGATTTATCTGTATCGCGACGAGCGGCAACCCAAGGGATCGACTTGCACACCGCCATGCTTGTGTGACGCCCGCCCTGCATAAGAGCGCATGTCCGACCCTTGCTGCTGCATCGACATTCCCAAACATATGCTTGCTTTAGTCGTCTACCGTACGATGTGCCTACGATAATTGTGGCGAATGTGATGCATGCTATGAGTATGGACAGGGTTACCCTCTGTACGCTATTTCGCTGAGCGTTAATAGATATTCTGGAGTACATCATGGCCATACATGACATTCAACTCTTGACAGCTGACAGAGACGGAGCAAATAATGAAGGAGCTTAGTGTACCTGGTCTCATCCTCCTTCAAGTCTTGAGAGCTCGCGAAGCTTGATCAAATAGGCGCGAAAGTACCGCCAACCGCTTTGTCCGCAGCCCCGAAAAAGCCCCGCAGCACCCACCACTTTTGGCTCTCACCCTGCAAAAAAATTCTCTCAATTGGGATGATGCAAAGGGATGTTTCCGACACGGGGAATTGAACCCCGGCCTCCTCGGACCTGATCGTTGCTAGAAGCAACTGTTTGAGAGCGAGAAATCCTAGCCACTAGACCATATCGGATGTTGTTGTAAGCATTCCAAGACTGTACATATATGTTTCCCAATTGACCATGAGAATGCCATGGCGGATGATCGAGGGTTAACGCGCAATCCTCACATGAAGCATAGAGAGTTCTTCTCCCTTTGTCTCGGTACTGATGCAACTAGCTATGTCGCCCTAACCTTCGGACTCACCAAAGCTGCTGGCCTTAACACACTTAAAGCACTATCTTTTGAATGAACGACGACATTGCCTTGTGATCGTTGGCTGTGAAAAGCTCGGCTCGGGGAGAGGCATTCAAGTCGATACTTTTCGCTACATTGAATCTTACTCCCTCAAGTCCGAGGTCCTCATCAATTCCAAGGATAATCACAGGATTTCTGACCGCGAAGTGTGTGGTTGGTGCTGCATGAATTTCGAGGTTGTGCAAGCGCTGTCTTTGGCATTCTCGGTCCGAGACTTTCAACGTCATCTGCTGAAGGTCGAAATATTTATGGGCTCAATACAAGAGCTCTGGCGAACGGACTATTCAAGGTGCTGATTAAAAATCATGAATGCAATTGATGTTTATGTATGGTAAGCAGCTTTCAAAATGTCTTGCATGTGTCAAGACACGATTCCCGGTAAGTCTTGCTAGACGAATAGTCCAAAAGGCCGGTGCTGCAGAGTATGATCGACTCACCCTTCACACGTAGTCTTGGAGGCTCATCAGTACGCCGCAATTCAAGATATCTTGACAGAAGAGTATGCCTCGCATCGATGATGCCAGGAGACAAAGCGGACTTGCATCCATTGTATCGTTACGCATGCAGCTCGTACTCTGAACAAAGAACTTCGCGAGGTCAAGCTTGACAAGCCTGACAAGCCATGCGAGGCCTTCCTTGAGTAGACTTCCTGAACTTGACACTGTCTCGATGCTTCAAGAGCCCAGCAAGGCAAAAGGGCAATACACTTATTGATCGACTGTGAGTCGAGGTATTTGTGACTTTGTTCAAAGCCGACTTTGCTTGGGTCTTTGGATGCGGTGGACGTTCGTTCGCGAATTTCCATTCGGCTCTTGAGAGCTTCTTTTCAACCTACACCGTCAGCTCACTGTTTATCGAAGACCAAATGCTGCTTTCCAATACTTGTTTTCGACAATATCCTGTTCAGTTTCTGACATGGCGATGCATGCCCACGCGAGAATACTGGGACCTGTGCGGCGCTGCTGGATGTCTTTTCCTGACGGGAGGGTCTCTGGGTCTGACAGTAACGTTTCTTGCATGAGCACAGTCCAAAGATGTTGGCTCGATCGATAGTCTGTGCTTGTGTCAAAGATTGCGGTTGCTGAGCTGGCTCATCAGCTGCGTATCGCACGTCTCCTTCGTGCTGAAAGTGGAACCTGTTCCAGGGCCGACGCGCTGAGTGTAGCATTGGCTAATCTTGAGCTCAAGAGCAGTATCGATGTGGCTGCATGACCGGATGTTGGGGAGCAGCGAGCTTATCACCAAGAACCAGGGTGACTATAGAGAAGCGACCAGCGTTTCTTGCCCAGGTCAATTGCAATCCTCGAGCCAGGACGACTTTGGTAAGGTGATGGTAGTGCAGCAGAACTTCTACCGTATGCTCATGGGCCTCTTGAGGATGCATCAAAGGTTGAAAGCAGATCAAGGGGTTGGTGTCGCATCTGTTTGTGTGCTTAGCAGAAAGGTATTGAGCTCAGAGGCTCTTCGAAAGTGGCCAGCTTTCTCAATCAGTATTCGGTGTACATTCATGATCTTTCTTGCAGACGGAGAATAGCTGTGATGATGATGTCGTCAAACGAAACACGGCCTAATTAGGCTAGCTCCCTCGAGGTGAGCGATTCCCCTCTCACACGTCTACACAGTCACTTGACGCGTCTCCAAACATTGCTCCAACGCATCAATCTACACACTCCCACAGGCAAATCAACAGCTGTCGTCAAGATGTCGGACAACTCTAACGACAAGATGGATGTTGATACCGTTGTAAGCACGATGGCGCCAACGTCACCAAAGCTGGCAACAACAAGGGCAAGGGAAAAGTGGTCAGCACCGGCGACCAGAGCAAGGGAAAGGAGGGCAGACCCAACGTGGCGTAAGTAAACTGTCCCTTTGGCCCTGTCCCCTGCTATCGCTGCCTTCTGGTTATGCTCCATTGCCATAACAGATGCGCCCGCAATCAGAGACGCATCGAACTTGACAGCGCCCCTGACTCCAAACCTTTGCTGACCATCGCCGTAGTAAACTCATCCTTTCTCGCAACAAGGGCAACAAGACATCCAAGCACAAGAAACGTGCCGCAGAAACCCCTGATGAGGCTGCCCCTGCTGAGACTGGCACTGCCGTGGCTGCTCCTGCTCAGGTCGCCTCCAAGAACAACGTGTAAGGTTATATCCCTCATAGAATGTTTGTGATGGATACTGATTGTTGCTACTAAACAGAAAGCACTTCAAACGCACTACTTGGTCCTGCCACATGAACCATGAGCTGCACGAAGATGATGAGGGAAACTACGTTGAGCGCTGGGACCTCCCTGACGAGTGCACTGTCACCGACGTTCGTGAGCGCGGTGTTTGCCATGCCTGCAAGCAGGAGTTCCCTGGCCCCTTGACGTATGTCAAGATATCGATACTCTCAACGTGCTTTACTGACTTCTTGAACTAGCATGAGCGAGTACCAATCTGAGCCTGACGTGGATGACAAGTGCAAGGGAAGTCTACAGCCTCAGAGACATGTAGGAGGCCGAGGAGACCGGAGCTGACTGCCATGGACCATGCCGCCCTCAGTAATGGTATCACGCAAGCTTCTCAAGCAGTCATCGAAGACTGGCAAGAACATCATGGCAGAGCGGAAGGTTGAAAGCTTGCATCCATCGTTCTTCAGGTCTCTCCAATAGCGTGTAACAACAAGACAAGCCCTTTTCTCATGTCTACCTGACCCTCAACTATACGTGACATGCCTTGAGATGTTTCTGCATTTAGCTGTGGTGAAATAGTCCAAGGCACTTCTTCTAAGCTGGTCGTAATGCACCAAAAACGTCAAAGATATGATCTCGCTATCACTCAGGTGCCAAGACTAGGCCGAGTGATGGTCGAAAGAAGGGACTATGTTGTTTGTGTTTCGTCAACCAAAACACCTCTGTTCTCACCACGCGTCATCACCTCTCCTTCCATCTTCCTACTTCCACTCAGTTGCATCGCACCCTTCAACCTGTTCCAGAACTTCACGACATCATTGAAAAGCCCAGAACACACAGTTTCTTACGTGGTGCCTTCCACGTCGAGGTACCCGCGCCCTATCTTCCGCTGAGCTTTCTTCAAGACTCTCTTACAAGGACTTTGGAACCTACGCCATGCCGTAAGTGTCTCGTTGACAAGTTCTGAGGGGTATTGCACTAACCACACATGATTAGTCTCATCTGCCGATTGTGGCCTCGCTGCCGCCATGTGCAGTGGCACAATGAGGAGGGACATGTTGTTAAACCCACCCTCGACATGCTCCCTACCTCCGAGGTAGTCGTCTACCCGGAGCGTTGCCAAGTTTGCGCGGAGCTTGGGCAACCGTACTATGTTCCCAGGTNNACTTCATCGCTGACACCCATAGCCTGAACAAGCGTGACTGACTATTTTCACAGGGGCAGACATCTTTGGAACGCCGAGATAGCTGCTGAAGAAGTCTTCCATGCTGCGCAGCCCCGAGACTCTTTCGAGGATGTTTTCCGCAAGGCAGACATGGCTGCAGCCATGCATGCACCAATGTAAGACATATACTTGGTCTACTCCACAAAGGTCTTTGCTGATGGTTCTAGTGATCACTACCACGAAGGTCCTTTGGGCGGCTGGGGCCCTGGCGCGGGATGGGACCCTGAGATCCCAGACGACAACATCTCATTAACCGCTTCTCCAAGTGCTCCGAGCAACAGTCCCTCAATCGATACCTCCACCACCGACTCGAGCACGCTGGCCGGCAAGGAAACTCTCCAGACTCCTAAGACCGCCACTCACCTACCACGCGAGACTACCGAACAATCACCTGAGCTTGGAGAGGACTTGGATTCTGGTGCCTCTCTCCCCGCCCCTGATTCAAGCCCTGGTCCTGGTTCTCCTGGTAGTGCAATTGATGGGTCTTCGGACACCCCAATCTCTCTTCCCCCTCCTGGTTCTACCAGTGCTGGATTCACCATCAATGCCTCAAACGCTGCCGTTACTGCCCCTCCTACTGCAGTCGTTCCTACCATTGGTCTCACTCTGATCTTGAACGGGGTCACTTACCCTAGAATAGAGAATGGCCGAGAGCGTTGGTATACCCAACGCCCTGGCCACTCTAACAACTATTCGAGGTACAGTGACCTCGTGAAGTTCGACACAGCCAAGGGAGGCCAGCTTGCCCCC